GATGCTGAGCTACACCAGAAAACAAATTTGGAAAAAATTTCGAAAAATTAAATTTGCGAGATAATCGCTCCGGAATATCACCAATAAAATAGGGAAAAAGTTTCGAACAAAAAATGTATGGCGCACTTTTTGATTGGTCCAGCGGATGCTGAGCTACACTCAAAAATATTTTGGAAAAATTTTCGAAAAATTAAATTTGGGAGATAATAGTTCGGGAATACCGCCAAAATCTTTAGCAAAAAGTAGCGAACAAAAAATGTATGGCGCACTTTTTGATTGGTCCAGCGGATGCTGAGCTACACTCAAAAATATTTTGGAAAAATTTTCGAAAAATTAAATTTGCGAGATAATAGTTCGGGAATACCGCCAAAATCTTTAGCAAAAAGTAGCGAACAAAAAATGTATGGCGCACTTTTTGATTGGTCCAGCGGATGCTGAGCTACACCAGAAAACAAATTTGGAAAAAATTTCGAAAAATTAAATTTGCGAGATAATCGCTCCTGAATATCACCAATAAAATAGGGAAAAAGTTTCGAACAAAAAATGTATGGCGCACTTTTTGATTGGTCCAGCGGATGCTGAGCTACACTCAAAAATATTTTGGAAAAATTTTCGAAAAATTAAATTTGCGAGATAATAGTTCGGGAATACCGCCAAAATCTTTAGCAAAAAGTAGCGAACAAAAAATGTATGGCGCACTTTTTGATTGGTCCAGCGGATGCTGAGCTACACCAGAAAACAAATTTGGAAAAAATTTCGAAAAATTAAATTTGCGAGATAATCGCTCCGGAATATCACCAATAAAATAGGGAAAAAGTTTCGAACAAAAAATGTATGGCGCACTTTCTGATTGGTCCAGCGGATGCTGAGCTACACTCAAAAATATTTTGGAAAAATTTTCGAAAAATTAAATTCGCGAGATAATCGTTCGGTAATACCGCCAAAGTAATTAGAAGAAAGTTTTGAACAAAAAATGTATGGCGCACTTTTTGATTAGTCCAGCGGATGCTGAGCTACACTCAAAAATATTTTGCAAAAATTTTCAAAAAATTAAATTCGCGAGATAATCGTTCGGTAATACCGCCAAAGTAATTAGAAGAAAGTTCTGAACAAAAAATGTATGGCGCACTTTTTGATTGGTCCAGCGGATGCTGAGCTACACTCAAAAATATTTTGGAAAAATTTTCGAAAAATTAAATTTGCGAGATAATAGTTCGGGAATACCGCCAAAATCTTTAGCAAAAAGTAGCGAACAAAAAATGTATGGAGCACTTTTTGATTGGTCCAGCGGATGCTGAGCTACACTGGAAAACAAATTTGGTAAAAATTTAAAAAAATTAAATTTCCGAGATAATCGCTCCGGAATACCACCAATAAAATAGGGAAAAAGTTTCGAACAAAAAATGTATGGCGCACTTTTTGATTGGTCCAGCGGATGCTGAGCTACAACAGAAAACAAATTTGGAAAAAATTTCGAAAAATTAAATTTGCGAGATAATCGCTCCGGAATATCACCAATAAAATAGGGAAAAAGTTTCCAACAAAAAATGTATGGCGCACTTTTTGATTGGTCCAGCGGATGCTGAGCTAAACTCAAAAATATTTTGGAAAAATTTTCGAAAAATTAAATTTGCGAGATAATAGTTCGGGAATACCACCATTAAAATAGGGAAAAAGTTTCGAACAAAAAATGTATGGCGCACTTTTTGATTGGTCCAGCGGATGCTGAGCTACACTCAAAAATATTTTGGAAAAATTTTCGAAAAATTAAATTTGCGAGATAATAGTTCGGGAATACCGCCAAAATCTTTAGCAAAAAGTAGCGAACAAAAAATGTATGGAGCACTTTTTGATTGGTCCAGCGGATGCTGAGCTACACTAGAAAACAAATTTGGTAAAAATTTAAAAAAATTAAATTTCCGAGATAATCGCTCCGGAATACCACCAATAAAATAGGGAAAAAGTTTCGAACAAAAAATGTATGGCGCACTTTTTGATTGGTCCAGCGGATGCTGAGCTACACCAGAAAACAAATTTGGAAAAAATTTCGAAAAATTAAATTTGCGAGATAATCGCTCCGGAATATCACCAATAAAATAGGGAAAAAGTTTCGAACAAAAAATGTATGGCGCACTTTTTGATTGGTCCAGCGGATGCTGAGCTACACTCAAAAATATTTTGGAAAAATTTTCGAAAAATTAAATTTGCGAGATAATAGTTCGGGAATACCGCCAAAATCTTTAGCAAAAAGTAGCGAACAAAAAATGTATGGCGCACTTTTTGATTGGTCCAGCGGATGCTGAGCTACACCAGAAAACAAATTTGGAAAAAATTTCGAAAAATTAAATTTGCGAGATATTCGCTCCGGAATATCACCAATAAAATAGGGAAAAAGTTTCGAACAAAAAATGTATGGCGCACTTTTTGATTGGTCCAGCGGATGCTGAGCTACACTCAAAAATATTTTGGAAAAATTTTCGAAAAATTAAATTTGGGAGATAATAGTTCGGGAATACCGCCAAAATCTTTAGCAAAAAGTAGCGAACAAAAAATGTATGGCGCACTTTTTGATTGGTCCAGCGGATGCTGAGCTACACCAGAAAACAAATTTGGAAAAAATTTCGAAAAATTAAATTTGCGAGATAATCGCTCCGGAATATCACCAATAAAATAGGGAAAAAGTTTCGAACAAAAAATGTATGGCGCACTTTCTGATTGGTCCAGCGGATGCTGAGCTACACTCAAAAATATTTTGGAAAAATTTTCGAAAAATTAAATTCGCGAGATAATCGTTCGGTAATACCGCCAAAGTAATTAGAAGAAAGTTTTGAACAAAAAATGTATGGCGCACTTTTTGATTGGTCCAGCGGATGCTGAGCTACACTCAAAAATATTTTGCAAAAATTTTCAAAAAATTAAATTCGCGAGATAATCGTTCGGTAATACCGCCAAAGTAATTAGAAGAAAGTTCTGAACAAAAAATGTATGGCGCACTTTTTGATTGGTCCAGCGGATGCTGAGCTACACTCAAAAATATTTTGGAAAAATTTTCAAAAAATTAAATTTGCGAGATAATAGTTCGGGAATACCGCCAAAATCTTTAGCAAAAAGTAGCGAACAAAAAATGTATGGAGCACTTTTTGATTGGTCCAGCGGATGCTGAGCTACACTGGAAAACAAATTTGGTAAAAATTTAAAAAAATTAAATTTCCGAGATAATCGCTCGGGAATACCACCAATAAAATAGGGAAAAAGTTTCGAACAAAAAATGTATGGCGCACTTTTTGATTGGTCCAGCGGATGCTGAGCTACAACAGAAAACAAATTTGGAAAAAATTTCGAAAAATTAAATTTGCGAGATAATCGCTCCGGAATATCACCAATAAAATAGGGAAAAAGTTTCGAACAAAAAATGTATGGCGCACTTTTTGATTGGTCCAGCGGATGCTGAGCTACACTCAAAAATATTTTGGAAAAATTTTCGAAAAATTAAATTTGCGAGATAATAGTTCGGGAATACCACCAATAAAATAGGGAAAAAGTTTCGAACAAAAAATGTATGGCGCACTTTTTGATTGGTCCAGCGGATGCTGAGCTACACTCAAAAATATTTTGGAAAAATTTTCGAAAAATTAAATTTGCGAGATAATAGTTCGGGAATATCACCAATAAAATAGGGAAAAAGTTTTGAACAAAAAATGTATGGCGCACTTTTTGATTGGTCCAGCGGATGCTGAGCTACACTCAAAAATATTTTGGAAAAATTTTCAAAAAATTAAATTCACTACATAATTGTTCGGGAACACTGCCAAAGTAGTTAGAAGAAAGTTCTGAACCAAAAATGTATGGCGCACTTTTTGATTGGTCCAGCGGATGCTGAGCTACACCAGAAAACATATTTGGAAAAAATTTCGAAAAATTAAATTTGCGAGATAATCGCTCCGGAATATCACCAATAAAATAGGGAAAAAGTTTCGAACAAAAAATGTATGGCGCACTTTTTGATTGGTCCAGCGGATGCTGAGCTACACTCAAAAATATTTTGGAAAAATTTTCGAAAAATTAAATTTGGGAGATAATAGTTCGGGAATACCGCCAAAATCTTTAGCAAAAAGTAGCGAACAAAAAATGTATGGCGCACTTTTTGATTGGTCCAGCGGATGCTGAGCTACACCAGAAAACAAATTTGGAAAAAATTTCGAAAAATTAAATTTGCGAGATAATCGCTCCGGAATATCACCAATAAAATAGGGAAAAAGTTTCGAACAAAAAATGTATGGCGCACTTTTTGATTGGTCCAGCGGATGCTGAGCTACACTCAAAAATATTTTGGAAATATTTTCGAAAAATTAAATTTGCGAGATAATAGTTCGGGAATACCGCCAAAATCTTTAGCAAAAAGTAGCGAACAAAAAATGTATGGAGCACTTTTTGATTGGTCCAGCGGATGCTGAGCTACACTGGAAAACAAATTTGGTAAAAATTTAAAAAAATTAAATTTCCGAGATAATCGCTCCGGAATACCACCAATAAAATAGGGAAAAAGTTTCGAACAAAAAATGTATGGCGCACTTTTTGATTGGTCCAGCGGATGCTGAGCTACATTCAAATAAACTTTGGAGAAATTTTCGAGACAATCACTCGGGACCATTTTTAAGTCTTCACCCGGGAATTGTTTACAAAACATTTTTTTCATAAACATTTGCTTTCTCATTGTGTGAAGCAAACATTTTCCTTCTTCGTGGAGGAAGCAATGAGTACCCACACACACATAAATACATACATTCGGACAATTGATCAGAATCTCATATAACATGTTTCTATATAGAAGAAAATTTGTTTTCACCATTTTTAAAAATTTTATAAACGAAAAAGCTACAAAGGTTCCTTCACGAGGAAGCAAAATGATGATAAAAATACAAATTTTAAGTATAAGGGAATATAGTCGTTTATAAGAAAAAATCATTATCAGGAAAAATAATAAAAATATTAGTACTTACAGTCTCATTAACGCCATATCACTTTGTAGTTGGCAAGATTTATCTTCTTCGACAAGTAGTGGTCCAGCAAAATCAACCATACGACTGGGACTACGTAGAAGTTCCCTCAACGCTTTTAGGGGCTCTAAGCGATGTTGAGGAGGTGGATAAAGTAACATTCTATGAAACACTGATTCTAAAACAGGTCTAAGTGGACCAACACAGCCAACCAAGCGTACCAATTCTGTGCCAATGCTAAAAAAATGAATCAATAAAAATAAAAACAATTCTAATTATTCCTTTTAATTAAAAATCCATATTAATAAATACCTATAAACAGTTTTAGCTTGATGACTGTCGAAGCTTAGTGAAGTTGTTAAATATCCAGAACCTCGTCCCACTTCCGTTTCTTTACCCTCGCGTGATGTAAAGGACTTGTCCACTCGTGGCGTTCCAAGAAAGGCTATAAGAGCAGGACAGAATTTTTGCCAAAGAAATGTGGTGAAGTGAGAGTTTGTGTGGATTTTCTGTGGGAGTGATGATATTAGAGTGTGAAGACACTCCAAAAGAAAGACGACAGTACTTCCGTTACGTGTGCTGTTGGAACAACATTTCCTTACAAAAAAAAAATTACTCATTAGTATTGTATTATATATTTGGCGAATTTTCGATTAACTTACTTTTGAGCCTCGTCCAACTTGCAACAAATGTATTGAAGAATTGGTAACGCCTCATTGAAGCAAGACACTCCTCTCTCACGAACGTTTTTGTTTCGCTTTGCGTTCTCATCCATTTCTTGGCACTCCTCATCTGAAATTTTGTTATTATTTTACTCAATTTTTTATTTCAAAAACAAAAATTGTCAATATTTCCAATATCAAAAAATTGATTGTAGTTCAGTTTTCTAAAAACAAAAAAAGTTTTTTTTGTTTTTAAATTTAAATTTTGATTTCATTTAAATATAATACAAAAAAAAGGAAACAAAATATTTTTAACTCACACCTTTAATAAGATAGAATAACAAAAAAAAAAAGAGGTGAATAAAATCACGATGATCATTCACACCTCCTTCTGATTCTCCCTTTGCGAGCATAAATGGTCTTCTTACCCAAAAAAAGGCAAAAAGATCTCAACGTCTGACTTGTTGCTGCCTGAGCTGCAGTTCTCACGGCTTGATTTCCATTTTCAAAGGCTTCGCAGCATGTCGTTAATATGGCAATGATTAACCTTCCATTCATCGTCCAATATTGTGAACAGGCAACTTGGAGTAAAACCTAAAAAAAACATTACATGATCATTTATATTTGGAACTATATATCTGAAAAACATTTTTATGATGTTTTAAAGCAAATTTTCTTCTTTAAGTTAAAAACTGTATATGTCAGTCAAATAAAATTAAACCACATGTCTCTATAATTTTTTTACCTTAAGAGAACACGTATTAACTTCAAAAAAAACCTGACAATTGAACCTAAATTGCAGTAGACTAAGAATAATCAGTTTTATTCCATTTTTTTGAATAGAATGTTTTCCTGGAAAATGAAAAAATACGAAAAAAATTCAAATAAAATTAATCAGCATGTGTCTATTTTTTTTACCTTCAAACAACACGTAATAACCTACAATAAAACCTACCAATTGAACCTAAAATGAAGTAGACTAAGAATAATCAATTTTACTCCATTTTTTTGAATAGAATGTTTTCCTGGAAAATGAAAAAATTCGAAAAAAATTCAAATAAATTTAATCAGCATGTCTATATATTATTTACCTTAAAACAACACGTAATAACCTTCAATAAAACCTACCAATTGAACCTAAATTGCAGTAGACTAAGAATAATCAATTTTATTCCATTTTTTTGAATAGAATGTTTTCCTGGAAAATGAAAAAATTCGAAAAAAATTCAAATAAAATTAATCAGCATGTCTCTATTATTTTTTTACCTTAAAACAACACGTACTAACCTTCAATAAAACCTACCAATTAAACCTAAATTGTATTTGAATAAGAATAATCTATTTTATTCGATTTTTTTAGATAGAATGTTTTCCTGGAAAATGAAAAAATTTGAAAAAAATTCAATTACAATTAATCTGCACGTCTCTATTTTTTTTACCTTAAAATAACACGTAATAACCTTCAACAAAACCTACCAATTGAACCTAAATTGCAATTGAATAAGAATAATCAATATTATTCGATTTTTTTAGATAGAATGTTTTCCTGGAAAATGAAAAAATACGAAAAAATTCAAATAAATTTAATCAGCATGTCTCTATTTTTTTTTACCTTCAAACAATACGTACTAACCTTCAATAAAACCTACTAATTGAACCTAAATTGCATTTGAATAAGAATAATCTATTTTTTCGATTTTTTTAGATAGAATGTTTTCCTGGAAAATGAAAAAATTCGAAAAAAATTCAAATAAATTTAATCAGCATGTCTCTATTTTATTTAACTTGAAACAACACGTAATAACCTTCAATAAAACCTACCAATTGAACCTAAATTGCAATTGAATAAGAATAATCAATTTTATTCTATTTTTTTGAATAGAATGTTTTCCTGGAAAATGAAAAAATTCGAAAAAAATTCAAATAAAATTAATCAGCATGTCTCTATTATTTTTTTACCTTAAAACAACACGTACTAACCTTCAATAAAACCTACCAATTGAACCTAAATTGCAATTGAATAAGAATAATCAATTTTATTCGATTTTTTTAGATAGAATGTTTTCCTGGAAAATGAAAAAATACGAAAAAAATTCAAATAAATTTAATCAGCATGTCTCTATTTTTTTTTACCTTCAAACAATACGTTCTAACCTTCAATAAAACCTACCAATTGAACCTAAATTGCAATTGAATAAGAACAATCAATTTTATTCCATTTTTTTGAATAGAATGTTTTCCTGGAAAATGAAAAAAATTGAAAAAAATTCAAATAAATATAATCAGCATGTCTCTATTTTTTTTTGCCTTAAAACAACACGTACTAACCTTTAATAAAACCTACCAATTGAACCTAAATTGCAATTGAATAAGAATAATCAATTTTATTCGATTTTTTTAGATAGAATGTTTTCCTGGAAAATGAAAAAATACGAAAAAAATTCAAATAAAATTAATCAGCATGTCTCTATTTTTTTTAGCTTAAAACAACACGTAATAACCTTCAATAAAACCTACCAATTGAAAATAAATTGCAGTAGACTAAGAATAATCTATTTTATTCCACTTTTTTGAATAGAATGTTTTCCTGGAAAATGAAAAAAATTGAAAAAAATTCAAATAAATTTAATCAGCATGTCTCTATTTTATTTACCTTAAAACAACACGTACTAACCTTCAATAAAACCTACCAATTAAACCTAAAATGAAGTAGACTAAGAATAATCAAATTTATTCCATTTTTTTGAATAGAATGTTTTCCTGGAAAATGAAAAAAATTGAAAAAAATTCAAATAAATTTAATCAGCATGTCTCTATTTTTTTTTACCTTAAAACAACACGTACTAACCTTCAATAAAACCTACCAATTGAACCTAAATTGCAATTGAATAAGAACAATCAATTTTATTCCATTTTTTTGAATAGAATGTTTTCCTGGAAAATGAAAAAATTCGAAAAAAATTCAAATAAAATTAATCAGCATGTCTCTATTTTTTTTTACCTTCAAACAATACGTACTAACCTTCAATAAAACATACCAATCGAACCTAAACTTTGATTGAATAAGAATAATCTATTTTATTCGATTTTTGTAGATAGAATATTTTCCTGGAAATTGAAAAAATCCCTTATAAACTTAAAAGAAATCAAATAGTATGTCATAACATCACAATTCAAAAAACACGTGAAATCAGTAAAGACCAACTTCAAGTTAGGACAGAAGGACAGACCAAGCAGTTTATTATTATTATATATATATATATATATATATATATATATATATATATATATATAGTTGTTAAAGACAGTTTTTGTCAGACTGGATTTAATCTTTCGTTTCATATATCAGTAGTTAGAGACTGTTACAGTCAGACACATTTTCTTCTTTTTTTAAAGAAATATATTATTGCAGTAGTACAGATCATTTTTAGTCAAACAAACCATTTTTGTTCTTTCTATAAGTAGAAATAGTAGATTTTAGTCAGACAATAATATATTTCACTTTCTTGTAATTTTTATCAGTAGTAAAAATTTGTTTTACTCATTCAAACATTTTGAATTTTTAAAATGGTCCATCAGTGGAAAAAGTAAATTTCAGTCAGACAGAATATCAGATTATTATTTGTAAAAGTAGTAAAATTTCGTTTCAGTCAGACAAGGTTAACGCACTTTTAATTTGTTATTAGTGATCAATGTCAATTTTAGTCAGATTGGATAATTAAATTAAATATCAGTAGTAATAGTCGTTTTTAGTCAGACAAAATATTAAACATTCTTTTCTTTTAATTAGATAAAAGTAATTAAAAACATACTTTAAGCATATCGGTTTGAGTATCATCAGATTGAGATAAAATTGATCCCATTGCATGTAACATTTGTGCAGGTAACCATAAGGAATCATCTTCTGGTTCATATGGTGATTGAAATCTATCATCCCTTAGCATTTTCTGTAATTGAAAATTTTATTTTTTTAACTGAAAAATATTTAAAAATTTGGTTGTATCAACCAAATTTTTTTCTAAATCTACAGAAAAAGTAGAAATAGAAAAAAAAATTTTGAAAAATAAAAATACTTTTCTATATTTATGAACATTTAGTAAAATTGTAATCAGAAAAAAAATAAACTATATTATCGTCTAACTTATAATTTCCGAACATCAAACGCAATACGCTTATCAATCGGATGTGAAATTAACCAACATTTCCTTGCTCAAACGACTAAATTTAAACATAATAATAAATTGCATAATTTAAAAAAGAAAAAATTTTACAAAACTAAAAAAAAATATCAAATGACATTTGCTATATGTAAAATAGAAAAAAATAATCTTTAAAAGTAGAAATTTAATTAGTATAAAAATAGTATAATTAAAAGTAAAAATATACATACATGTAATCCAGAAAGACCAAATGCTACAAATTTACTTCTTTTTGTTTCCAGTGCCAATTGAATAGCACGCAAACATTTGGCCCTTAACTCATGAGGAGGATCCCTCAATAGTCCCTGCTGTTTATCCATAAATTCTAAAAAAAAAAGAAAATTTCCCCGAGAAATAAAATTAAATACAATAAATAAAATTATTATCACTTACCTGACGCTTCTTGCGCCGCTTTTCGTAAATTTTGTAATTTTGCATTTTGAGCTTCCCTTATAATCTGCAGTAAGAGATCCTCCATGACACGACCGACTGCCACGCGACTAATCGATAGTAGCGGGTGTTTCCTACTCATATATATAACAATTTTTATACACGCTCCATGTATATAACATGGATACTAAAAAATCGATGTTTCTTGACATTATTATTATTATTATAACTGCGCGTCATCAATTTAAATCTAAAATTTGATTTTTATTTGTTTTCTCAATAAAAAAACAATATTTTTTTTAAATAAATAAATTTTTTTATTAAAAATTTATATTTTTTTATTCCAATTTTTTAAATTAAAAATTTATATATTTTTTTTATTACAATTTTTTTATATATAGTACAGCTTTGGTTGCAAATAATAAATATTTTTTTTTTTTTATAAATATAATATAAGTTTAATTATAAAAATTTAAATTTGTAAAATTTTTTATAAATAATTTTCCACCAATTAGTAAATATTTGGTTATTTGAATTTAAAAATCTTCAGTAGGGACCATGTTTACCGACCGTTTTCCAACAATCGGCTTTTATTTTCTACCAAAAGATAGCGGTAGAATTAAGTTTTTCACAATTTATTTAAAATTTTCAATTATTTAAAAAAAAAGGATGAAATAATTAATTACAAAAATTAGCGATTGTTAAATAAAAAATTCATACCTTAAACCCTTAAATTTTTTTTTTGAAAAATATTTTAAACCTACTTTTTTTGATTATTTGTCACGTATATTACTTTAATTATTTATTTATTATTTATATATTAGTTGCAAAAAAATTGAAAACGATTAAATTTTTTTTTTATTTTTAAAAGTGACAACAAATTTTTGAATTTTGAAAAATAAAAAAAAAATTGACACAGGCGCAATGAAGAGAATTTTGAAATAATGATGATGAGAAATTTGAATGAGAATCACTGGTTGAAAATAAAGCTGTACAGGCCGCAGTTATGTACAAATTTTGGAGCATAATAAGTGTTAGTGTATATTTAATTGTCCCATGAATTCAACGAAAGAAATTAAAAATGCAAATTTACCCAATGATAAAAAATCTGAGAATGGAGAAAAAAAGACAGATACAATTTATTATCGATTGGCGGTGACACTGCTTGGTATAACAAAAAATTTATTTTAATTTATTATAAATAAATAATTTCTATTTATATTGGTTTTTTTTGGCATTAATTTTTTTTTTATTTTCATTAACAGCAATAGGCTTTGGATTTCTTCATGGTTGGCATGTATCAACACTTTTTGAAAATGATAGACATTTTTCACATCTTTCCGATATTGAAAGAGAAATGTCATTTAGAACCGAAATGGTAATTAGAATTTATTTAAAAAAAAAAATTATTATTTAACTTTGCCCCAAATAATTAAAATTTAAACTAATTTTTTATATAATTTAACAAAAAAAATTTGTATATATGTCACATAACCTTCAAATGTATTATATAGATAGTATAGAGAAAAATTTACAGAAAAATTAATTATTAATTAAAAATTAATAAAATTTGTAATATGTGATATATTTTTTAAATACGATTTTACTAACATATTCAGCTATTCCGGAAATGGGGATATCCCAAGGATGTCCATGGATAACCCTAGAATATCCATGGATATCCCTAGAATATCCCTCTATTTAATTTAAAATTCTATTTTTTAATTTATTTTTTAACTGTAATTTGCATTTTTAAAATTTTTAAATAAACATTAATATTTTCTTATAGGGAATGTATTACTCATACTATAAAACAATTGCAGAGGCAAATAATATAAGTTCAGGTATTGAAAAACTTTTATCCGACAATATTTCCGAATATCCAAATGTTATTGATGCCACTATGAAATATAGTCTTTTACCAGAGGTTTGTCATTTGAAATTACAAAAATAAAGTCATATTTAAAAACAAAAAATTGTCACATTTTTAAATATACAATAAAAAATAAAAATGTTTCTAGGTTACCGCAGGTTCTCTTTATCATATTGGAAAAGATTTTGGTCTTTTAACAAAAAAACAATGTTGGCAGGTAAATATTATTTTTTATAAATAAGAAATTATATAAAATGGAAAAGAAGCAAAAAAATTATTTGATTCTTTTCCCTTTTATTAAAAAATGCAATTTTTTTATTTAAACATTTTTTTATAGATTGAAAGAGGAGATGAACTTCCTCCAATATTAAGTTGTGAGGGAATGGAGGTACCAATTTATTTTTATCTCGAAATTGTTTGGTTTCATGCAACATTTACTGGTTCAATAATATTTCTCTATGCAACTTATTTAAGTGGTTCTGTTTATGGTGGATTATTAGCAATATTTTCCTTTTTTTACAATCACAATGAATGCACAAGAATTCAATGGACACCACCATTGAGAGAGAGTTTTGCCTATCCTGCATTACTCTATCAAATGTATAGAATAACAGAATTTATAAGAGGACATCGACAAATCAAATCAAAAACTCATAAATTCTATACATATGTTGTAAGTATGTTTTAACGCATGCGCATTTTAAAGTAGGAGTCTAAAGTGGGAGGGGGATTAAGAACGAGACAAACTTATCGTACCGTTTCACTTACTCTCACATCCCCCCACTCCGATTCATTAATACTCTTTTCTATCGAATTATTTAAATAATATAAAAGAAATTTATTTCAGGACATTTTTTTAGCAATGATGTACAGTTTTTATAGTTGGCAATTTTCGCAATTTGTATTTTTCACACAAATTATTATTATACTAATTCTCAAATGGATACGTATAATACCACGTGATTTATCAAGAAAAATTTGCCTCATTCATGGTTTATCGGCATTAACAATAATAATGGATTCAGAAAATACATTATTATCACAATCATTATATTGGTGCCTTTTAATAAATCATATATATTGTGAATTTATTAGCGATAAATTAAAACGTTTTTTTAGTTTAAAAACAATAACATGGAGTGAAATAACATCGACAATTATTGGGACAATATTGACAAAAAAATTTATCATCAAATCAGAAGATGACAATCATATATTTCAATTACTTATGTCAAAATTAACAAATTATAAAAATTTTCATACAATGTTATATACATGTGCGCCTGAATTTGATTTTTTGCAATATGAAACATTTAAGACAATTACAATAACTGTTTTATTGCCAACTGTTATTCTTGCTGGTTTATTAACATTGTATTATTGGTATAGAAATTTTAAAAAGGAAGGTTATCCCGATTGTATTGAACCGGAAATTGCATACAGTGCATTACAATGTGGTGCATTTATTTTAATGGCAATATTTATTATGCGATTGAAATTATTTATGACACCACATTTGTGTATAATTTCTGGATTGGTAGTTGGAAAACGTTATTTGGCAAAATTTGGTATTAAAAGTGAAGCATCACGTGCTGCATTAGTGGCATTAATTTTAGCATTAATGACTTATAATGGAATGCAAAGACTTCAAGAGGAAAGAAGTCATGTTGGTGTGTGTTTTTTTTATTTATAGAATGTAGACGCGCTCTAAAGAAGAAAAAAATTATAGGTTATGTTTATGATTGACTCATACAAATCATAACCTACAAATTTTTACTTCTTCATTTCTTTTAGAGAGTGTCTTATATTTTTAAGTTAATGAAAAAAATTTCATATTAAAATTTTTTTTTTTCTATTTTCAGGTGAATATATGAATATAGAACAAGAAGAATTATTTGAATGGATAAAATTAAAAACACCAAAAAATGCCGTTTTTGCCGGTAAAATGGCATTAATGGCAAATTTAATGTTATCCACTGGTAGACCAATTGTGAATAATCCATATTATGAGAACAAAGAAATGAGGTCTTTAAAAAAAATTTTAATATAATAAAAAAAAATTTTTAATATATAAAAATAAATGGAAAATTATGTAATTTTTCAGAGATCGAACAATGAAAGTCTATGAAATGTTTAGCCGAAAGGAACCTATGGCTGTTTATGAAACTCTGAGAAAACTTCATGTTGATTATATAGTATTAGACGAAAATCTATGTTACGGTTTTGGCAATGTGTAAGTTCTTTTTAATTATTTATTTTTATTTTAATATTATTTGCAATTAAAATAAAATTTTTCAATGTTAAAGAATTAATTTCTTGATTATAAAAATCAATATTTTTTCTCTAAAAAAAAAAATAGAAAACCTGGATGTAGAATGGTGGATTTAATGGATCTATTGGATAATGGAAAGGATAAAAAATTAGGAAAACCACCAGTTTGTCCAATTCTTTATCGAGGCTACAATCATCTTTTTAGAAAAGTTTTTTCCAATCAAAATTATGTCGTTCTAAGTTTGGAATATTCCAAGTATGTTGAAATAAAACCGAAAAAAACAATTACTTATCAATCGTAAACAAAAAAAAAAGAAATTAGAATTTTTCCATAATATTAATTTGCAGAAAATACACAAAATAGTATTATTATTAGTACCACAGCCAATATGCTATATATATATCTTACTCTCTTTATCAATGTTCGCTTCATAATAGAAGAAAATATTATCAACTCCTAAAATTAATTAATCTTTTTTTATTAGACAAAAATTAAAATTTTATTTTTTGTCGAAAAAAATTTTTTAAGTAAAAAAAAAAACTTGTGCAATTTGTGTACATATATACATATCGAATTTAAAAAAAAAATTGTTCATTAATTAATATTTTATTGTTAATTTAATTTGAGATAAATATTTCTAACTAATGGTATAACAAAAAAGAGTTAAAGAGATATTTTCCATGTTGAAGAGATTTAGTTACAAGACTGTTACATATAAATTTTAACTATAGAGAAAAAAAAATATTCTAAACTGTTTATTGGGCAAGGACAATAAATAGATTTATTTTAGAATAATATGCAATTAAATTTACAAGAACAAAAATATGTATAGCAGCTATTATTATTAAAAATTGTCAAGCATTTGAATTTTTCTCAAGTTAGGAACCAAAAAAAAATACTGTAAAAAGATATTTTTACATCTTTTTTTTTTCTAAATATTAATTGCAATTTAAAACAAAAAAATTACTTAAATAAATTATATTTTGTGGCTTGCAAACTTATAATCGAATGCTTTTAAAAGCCGAATAGCGAATAATAATAATAATAATAATAATATTTGTTGCGCTACAAAGAACAAATGAGAGATTTCAAAATACGTGATATGCAATATTTATACTTAATCATGAAAACAACGAAATCTATGTCTATATGTCAAAAAAAGAATAAAAAAATTCTTTTAAACGCCACAACTATTTAACAATTTAAATATATTATAAAAAATGCCACTTAAGTCTATTATTTGATAACAAAAAAATAATGCCTTCAAATAGTAAAATTTTTAATATTGTAACTTTTCTTAAAAATTTTATTCCAAAAATAAAAAATTATTTGATTCAAGTAAAAATTTTAAAAATTTTATAATTAAACATATTTATTTCTTAATTAATTCAAATTAGAAGTGAATATAAAAATTTGTGGTTATTAAAATTTTAGTTAGAAATGCTTTCATTTTATAAAATGCGTAACATCAATGTTAATGTGTATATGTCTATTTTATACATAAATGTAATAATTTAGAATATGAGCAGCTTTTTAAGATATCGTATATTACAATGTGATACTTTTTATTAATTATAGGTATAAGTTAAATGCCAAAAGAATTGTATCTGTAATAAAAAAAATTTCGAAAATATAAATAAACAAATTTAACATGCGTTGAAAATGTTTGAAAAATATTGATAAAAAAAATTGAATTCTCATTCAAATAGTAAACATTTAAGTAATTTATTTGTCAATTTTCAAAAATTCTCGCTAAAATATTTCTGTCCATTATTTATTCGGTCACTTTCAATTTCGGTCAAATAAAAATTCGCCGTTTCTTCATTTGACCGAAATTGGAAACAACCGAATATGGACAGAAAATAAATTGGCGCGAATTTTGAAATTGACAATTTTTAAAATTAATTTCTTTTCTGACTTTTTTCACTTTCAATTTCAGTCGAATTAAAAACTCGCCGATTTTAAGAATCGCAGTTCCTTACTGTTTTTAACCAGTCTTTTATTTTTTTCAAAAAAAAGGAAAATTATACTTTCATTTGAATAATCAACGCAATTTATTCTTGTCATGTATATCTTAAAAATGTGACACATTCTTGAAGAAAATATGTTTACCCTTTCTCCATTCTATACATATACTATTTGTCTATTCTTGATAAATATAAAATCACCAAAAAAAAAATTCAGAAACGTTGGAATCTAACGGAAAATGGTACTATAAAAAAAATGATTTTCATGTCAGAAAAGACAATTTTTATGTTCTATCAATCTTGAGGAATTCTTTATAAATAAAGAAAATGCTAAAAACTTGGGAGTTGTTTCTCCAACTAAAAGTTTATCTGAACCAGCGGTACCTTCACTTAAAGAGTCTTTAGGCTTGAGGTATATACCAACAAAACCACCACATGATCGCACACTATACCTTTTATAATATACCATCAGAGAATAGCAGTGCCTGTTGTTTATACTATATATATACGTTGTACAGGCACGCTGACCCAAATGAATCCTTCCACTATATTTTCCATCGCAAAGTTTCAGTCAGTCCCAGTCCGGGCGGCAATATTGTCGGATCCATTCGGGGATCTGCGCGCCTCCAATATATATATATATATACAAAAAGGATCGAAAATAGAAGCGATATATAGGTTTCAAAGTGAGGAAAATCTCTATCCTTTTTTCTCTCTCTTTCTCTATATACCGGTCCAGTGGATGTGAGAGTGACAAAATAGATTATTAAATTCATATATGTTTATTTAATAAATACTCGAGTTAGGAAAAAGTGCAAAACCTCGTATAGGCCATTGAACCTCCAGTGAATGGGACCCATATTGCAAATAAAAGAACGGAATCGGTCTCAACAATTTATTTCTTTTTTTTTTATTCTTCATCTTCTTCCCAACCATGTAAACCTTGTTATCATTGTTCTGTCACCAATTATAATTATAACTAATTCATCTTAGCTCAGTGAATTGAAAACAAATGGATTCCTCGTGTCAACTTCTTCTATTTCTTCTTAATTCATTTCCTTTATTCTTGTAATTATTATTAGCTAGATTTTAGATATATGGTAACCAACATTCTTTCCAGTTAATTTTTCTCTATTTTTATTTCTATTATTATTATTATTATTATTATGTAAAATAATTTTTAAGTAGATATTTTATATTTAAAGCTAATTTTGCTTAATTTTTGTATTTTCACATATTTTATTAATGCGCCTGAATCAGAGAAATCGGAATCGCTATGTGTGCATTAAAATCGATTTTTTTTGCATTTTAAGAAAATATTTATTTGATTCAAAATATAATTACACTGAAAGAACGAAACTCTACATTCTTTGTGCGGTTACCATATATCTCTAAATTTCATTTTCTTTCACCCTCTAAATCTGAATTAGTAAAAATGTTTACTAATTTGAATTAGTGATATAAATTCTGCCAGGGAAAAAAATATTCTCAAATTGAAAAAAAATAATAACGCTTATAAATTCTTTTCTATTTCTTGAAATATAATAAATATACTCTCTAAATTTGAATTTCTAATTAAAAATAACTAATTTTTACTAAAATATTGGTTTAATTTTTTTGCTTCAGCGATTAGTAAAAAAAAACAACTAATTAATAATAAAAAGTTACTAATTTTGTTCTTTTGTCACAAATTGATTCCTTTTAATTTAATTTTAATACTTGATTAATTTTTTAATTTAATTTTCAACATTGCAAAATTATTTTTATTACTCTATTAAAAAAAAAATTGTTTTCATTCACTTTCTTCACTTTGAAAAAAAAGTTGTTTTTCCTCTAATATGAGAAATTCAATTAATAGATATTGTAAATATCTTTCTTTCGAAAATAAATAATTGAATTTATATATTTTGTTAATTATAAATGAAAATTTTAATTAACGTAGATAACCTGATGGACATCTCTTCCTGTTTTCGCGGGAAACGGTATTGTACACCATCATCAAATGCGGGAAAGTGTTCTCTTCACAATCTCTCTATATGCATACAAAAAAAAATATATATATATATATGTACACACACATAGTAAAATGAACACACGTGTGCGGTGAACCTGCGCATTGTCGCGCAGTGAAGAACGTGCCGCGGATGCAGCTGGAAGCAATTGGGGTTCAAAATATAAGCATCAGAGACGACAAATACACTGATTCTCAAAATACATATACGCCGGTTTTGTTCGAAAAAAAAAAAATAATAAAATAAAAGTAGAAAAACAAAAATCTACTCAGAAAACGATAATTAGGAGAAAGTGGGGAAAAATATGCAGAGGAACATTTCGACAAATAATTATTTAATAAAGGAAGTTGACGATGTTGTTGATTAAGTGTGTTAAAAGAAGTGCACTATAAAAAATATTAAAAATCGTTCAAGTTGAAAGAAATGCGGCTTCCGTGCTTCACAATTCTTCCTTGTGGATTTTAATATTTAAAACAGTAAGTGTTACTATACTAATTATAAAATTATTATTATCATTACTATTTTTATTTTTATTATTATTACTTTTAATATTAATATTTTTATTAATATTATTATTAATATTAATATTATTATTAATATTATTATTACTATTATTATTGCTATTATTATTTTTATTATTATTATAATTAAACTAGCAAATACATTCTTCATTGAACATTGAATGAAACTCTCACTCGAATAGGAAAAAACTACTTTGCATTCAAAATAATAAATAAAAAGTAATTCAATTCTTATTTTATAAAAAATATAAAATTAATATAAAATTTTTTAATAGAACAAAATAAGTTCTTGATAATTTTTTTTCGACCCTCTTAATAAACGATTATTAAGCGCGACGACCCTAACAGCACCAAATGTTCATTTCTTGAAGTGGGAAGTGACTCTTATAAATTTATGACTATACGCAGCTTTTCTCCAAAGTTTTATAGTTTCACGCAGTTGTTCCAATCTCTAGTCTTTTATATTTTTCTCAAAAATAACTTTGTTATTTCAATTCTAGAAAAAAATATATATATATATTTCTAAGGTTTCTCAACGCATATAGGTATTAATAAAAGAATCTAAAAATACGTTATCATTCCTATGGTGAAAGTAAATAAGTAACTGAAGAAAGAAACATTTTTGAATCCCTTGTCCTCAATTAAAAAAAAAAATAAAAATACGCAATAAAATTCAAAAATAAAATTTCTAATTAAAAATTAGAATCATAATTAAAAATATGCAAATTATTAATAATAATAATAATTATTATTATAATTCTTATTTCTACTTTATTTATTATTTATTATATTATATTTTATATATATATATAAAATCAAATAATACGATTCGATTCTTGTTCTCTCAATCAGGTTAACTCCTATAGTCTCAATATATACATAATGATTAGGAGAGATTCAGGCCAAATCGAAATATATACGGCTTCATCAATTTGGTTCACCTCATTTGCAAATTAGAATTTATCAGTTTCTTTTTTATTTTTTGATTCTACAATATTTTTCCAAAAAAAAAAATTTTATCTCTTCTTCCCAGCAGGGGTCAAAAAATAAAAAAAAACCGGTTTTCTATTTTCAAAATTACTTAATATACACTCAGAGGTTTTTTTTTTATTTTGAACCAATTTTTATTGAGCCAAATAAACTTTTGGTTGATACAACCAAGATTCAGTTGTTTCAAACAAAAATTAGGTCGTTCCAAATAAATTTTGGTTGTTTCAAAACAATTTTATTCCGTGCGTTGATTCAGTTTTTCTATTATAAAAGTATATAGGTATGAAAAAAGGCATTGTTAAAAATATATTGATAAAAGCATTTTTCATTTATGATGATTATCATCAAATTTGTGGTTCCTTTTTAAAAATAAATCTCATTCTTATCATAATATTACATCTGATCATAAATTTAGAATATATATATATTTCACAATAAATCCTGCTACAGAAACATGAAATGCATTCCAAGTTTTCTGATTGTGATCGCATATTTATATATATATATATATGAATCGTGCATGGAATTAGGTTTGTTAACTCTTAGAAATTCTTCTATAAACAATCTAACATTTTGTTAGTTAGCAATAAAATTTTGTATAATATAAAATCAAAAAGAAACTTTCTTTTCATTCACACAATATATATTCTCGCGAGCAAGAAGAAACATTTCCCTTAGAAAATTGATTAACTTGCAAATGTTTTACTTTCACTTTAATGACACCTATATGCTTAATTAATCTCGGAGTATATATACGAAAAATTCACACTCATTGTGAAAAAAAAAAAATATATATATATATATGAACAAAAGTGCATTGTCTCTTTTTCATTTGGAACTGTGTGAAGTCACGACAAGGTAGAGGCCAAGTACTGCGAAGAAATGAGAAAGAAAGATTATTCACGTGAAAGAAGAGGAAAAGAGAAATCAACCGTGATCTTAATGATCTCGAGAAAGAGAAACAAAAAAAAACGCATCAGAAAGAAGGAGAGTGAGTGAGAGAGAAATACCGGAAGAAAAATGGTAGGAGAGGCTCCACGAGTTTCACATGACCGAGATATAAACTGTATATACTCATATTATAGTTTTATACACCAGGACAATGATTATGACATGAGATCATTTGCTCGTGGGCTGCCAAACAGTAGCGGATCTCCAACTGCGTTAATTGGACAAAGGTCATATTAACCATAAGTGTTATTTTATATTCGAAAGTGCCGCTTATAAACCCAAGCCTTCTATATGGTCTATAATTACAAAATATATATATACGTTCCACTCACTCAGCAATTACAGTGACACTTTTTTTGTTATTTTAAGTTAAAAACAATTTTTATTTTACTAAAAATTGCCAAAATAACAAAAATGTAATAAAAGAATATTTTAATTACAAATTATTGTACGAAAAAAAAATTGACAAATTCAGAAAGAAGTAATTTTAAATTGAGAGGAAAATTCAAAATGTAAATTAAATTTGGGCCTGATTGGGTACTATCCAGTTTTCCCTATGTGGCCCTCATTAAAGATACTGACTAGCGCCCGACCGGACTGATAAGGTAACAGAAAAATAAAATTTCGCCTTCCTTTTGCAAACAAATTTTCCTGCTTAGTGAATTTTGTTAAACTTTTATCGTTTCGGTTTCTCAATATTATGAATTTTTTCCATTCTCGCAAATTTTTACGATATTTAGCTATATGTAGTCAAAAAAAAAATGTATTGCAACGTTCAGGAAATAAAAAGGAGATATATTAAAATATATGTGTACATGCGGCATTTTCGTAATACACGAGTGAAAGTCCTTCAATTTATTTATACGATGTGGCAAATTAGTACCGGAAAATGTTTCACCACACACTGCCATAAGGTTATTATATTTGTCCATTAAAAATGAAAATAGGGCTACGTTTACTGTCACCCATTACTTTATATTTACTTAAATTTTTAATATTGTATAAAATATAGAACTTTATTAATTTTATAATTATATATATATATTTCTTCTATGTAATTCTGTGTAATATTACACGGCATATTAATGTACCAACAAGTAAGGTACTCGTTACTTTGGTACCAGTTACTTTGGTAACAATTACTTTGATACTAGTTACTTTTGTACCAGTTAATGTGATACCAGTTGCTATGGTACAAGTAACTTTGGTACCAGTAACTTTGGTACCAGTTACTTTAGTACCAGTAAGTACGGTACCAGTTACTTTGGTACCAATTACATTGGTACCAATTACTTTGATACTAGTTACTTTGGTACCAGTTAATGTGATACCAGTTGCTATGGTACCAGTTAATATGGTACCAGTTACTTTAGTACCATTTAGATAATATGGTACCAGTTACTTTAGTACCATTTAGTTACTTTGGTACCAGTAACTTTGGTACCAGTTACTTTAGTACCATTTAGTAACTTTGGTACCAGTAACTTTGATTCCAGTTACTTTGGTACCAGTTACTTTGGTACCAGTTACTTTAGTACCAGTTACTTTGGTACCAGTTTCTTTGGTACCAGTTACTTTGATACTAGTTACTTTGGTACCAAACTAATTGGTATTGGTGAACTAATTACTATTGTACCAGTTACTTTTGTACTACTAATAAGTACGGTACCAGTTTTTTATGGTACTAGTATGATAATAATATATATGTATGGTATCACTATACTAAAAAAATAACATTTATGCGAGAATTACCTCCCGCGAAGTAAGAGACCTTTTTTGTTTTTGTGTCACTTTATATACACTCCGTATAGTGCACACGATTGGAATGCACGTGAATGCGACTAATGCGCGCGAAAGATCATCGAGAGGGAGAATATTATAGAGAGAGGCATATATGTAGTATAACTAATACAAACTTTTGTTGCCAATTACATATATAAATACATATATATGTACATATATAGGAAGCGGGGAAAGGAGCGGCTATTGAGGACTGTGATAGTTTACAATTTAAAGATTTTAAGTTCACAATTTACATGCATGACTGGTTACATGATTATCCCTTTCCAAGTCGTGTTTTTTCTCTATTTAAAAAACAGTAGCACCAACCATTAAGACGACATCAGTTTGTGTATATGGCTTCGCTAAATACATATACATTGAACTGTTCATGTATTTTATGACACATTTACCTACATTCCATTGATATTTCCGTCTCACTCTCTCTTTGTCTTTTATCCTTTTGTCTCCCCCGCGCTCATCTTAGAAGCATTGCAACATCAATAGATTCCCACGCCATATACGCAAAGTCCTTTAATGCATTTCGTTTCTTTATAATAAATAAATATTACATTGCATTTTGCATGAGACTTCTCTTCAAAAAAAAAGAAAAAAAATTAAATAAAATATACACATATGTCATCAACTATTTTCCAACGGTTTCACAAGTTGAATACCCTGATGTAATGATTTTTTTTGGTAGTAATTTAACCAACGGTACAATCGGTAACTGAAACCAAAGTAACTGGTACCATAACAAGTGGTACCAAAATAACTGGTAGCAGAATAACTGGTACCAAAGTATCTGGTACCATAACAAGTGGTACCAAAGTAACTGTAACAAGGTAACTGGTACCATAACAAGTGGTACCAAAGTAACTGGTAACAAGGTAACTGGTACCATAACAAGTGGTACCAAAGTAACTGGTAACAAGGTAACTGGTACCATAACAAGTGGTACCAAAGTAACTGGTACCAAAGTAACTAGTAGCAGAATAACTGGTACCAAGGTAACTGGTACCAAGGTAACTGGTACCAAAGTAACTGGTACCAAAGTTGCTGGTACCAAAGTAACTGGTTCCAAAATAACTGGTACCAAGGTAACTGGTCCGAAGGTAACTGGTACCAAAGTAACTGGTACCAAAGTAACTGGTACCAAAGTTACTGGTACCAAAGTATCTGTTACCATATTAACTGGTACCAAAGTAACTTGTTCTTAAGGAAATGGTACCAAAGTAACTGGAACCGTTATAACTGGTACCATAGCAGTTGGTATTGAAGTAACTTCTCAGGTTTCCTGAAGAGGGACGCATAGGGAAAACTGGAAAGTGCCCCATCAGGCCCACGTTTCAATTTCTTCACTTAGTGGAATATTTGTTAATGATGAAAAATTAAATTAACAATAACTCCCACTATTTATTCGCCAAAACACATGACTGGTTTTCTGAGGAGGCGTGACAAACGATTAGATTGGAATGTGGTGAGGTGTAGAGTGTGCAAGGTTAAAAAAGATGAAGGCATGGAGGCTATAAAGCTACACATCGTCGGACGCTCCCTCATATTTTATATATATATATATATATATACTGTAAATATGTATAGGTGACCTTGTTTTAGCTTCTGATATAGGCGAGTTTTGTTGCAAAGTTTCTAAATTCACAATGATCAACTGGGCGTGAAGTAATTCATTTTCAAAACAAAAGAAAAGCTCAATCCATATACTGATTAATGATATAATTTTAGATATATATATATATTTTCTTTCTTCGGGATATTCAATTTCTTTTTAATGTACATTTAACTGATCTTAATAAAGATTTCATTTGAAAATTAAGTGCATCGCTAAATTTTTTTTTCTCTTTTTTTTTAATCATGATGAGAGGAATTTTTCTGCGGGTCTTCAGATAGCAAATCTTTTTGCGAGAGTTATATGCCGCACTTAAGAATAAGTGCTTTTGTGTCGAAGTGAAAGTAGTGGGTTCACTTGATACATACATATATATATATATAAGTTAATTCAGTTAAAACTGGAAAGGCTTTAATTTGTGTGTGAATCATTTATAAATTACAGTTGTTGTTTAGATAATTAAGCGTCACGTATCTTGAAAAACATGATTCTATTTAAATAGTTTATTTTATCGTGAATATAATTAAGATTATATATGCATATGAAAATAAGTCATTATACAACTATTTTTGGTATATGTGTATTAGAATGTAAAAATAAAAAGTATTTCTTTTTTTGATAATTTATGATTTGGTTCATTTTAAAAATCGCGTCGAAATCTTTCTGTCGATTGTTTCTCGGTCATTTGTTTAAAAAAATTTTTTTAATTAAATTATTTAAAAAAAAAAATATTATATTTTTCATATGTTAATGTCGTTCATGTTATTTGTGTTCACTAAAATTTGGGACACCTCGACCACACTGTCTCTGATGGAGGACTTTCTTTTCAATACAAAATAATGCATACCAGTGAGATACAAAATAGTGACTATCTTCAAACGCTACAAAGGCAAGCTTTGTTCTTGTCGCTAACTCTTTAGAATGTTAAATACCAAGTCCTTGAGAAGTTTTTATTCCCCGTTATTATGAATATAGCGATAAATATTTTGTATTAAAAAAAATAAAACAATTTTATTTTTATTTAAAAATTTGGAACAAAAAAATTTAATAAATAGTATAAATTTTTAAATTAAACTAATTGTTAAGAACAGAAAAATTTTCACAGGAATTTAAAATTGACAGCCGAAAGGAATTCAATTTTTTTTTTTTTTTTTTTTGCTCTCTGTGATGATTTTATAATATAGGTCAAGAAGCACGTTTCAATATTTAATGAATTGGCATTTGTATTGGGAGAGAGAGAGAAAGAGAGAGAATGAAAGATGCCTTGGGGTCAACGTGGGCTAGACCGTCAAACCAGTTTCGCCTCGTAATGTGACGTTACTGTTATTATGCTGAGCAAAATTAACCTACATGTGTCATTAGGTCCTACCTCTACATTCTACAATATTCCTCTCTTTTTATCTTGCTCCATTCAAGCTTGTCTCATTCAATTTAACATCAGTTTGTCTCATATACCAAAATACATTTATTTAGCATATATAATAATTTTCTTTTACTTCCAACACTCAACAAAGAGCATGTTTTTTTATAATTTCATCTAATTATAATAAATTAACTGCTTTAATTTCTCCTGTCAACGCATGTAATCTGTCCAAGAAAGTGCGCACATTAAATGCTATATAATCTTTTGTCACATATGCGATACAACATTCAATTTAAATTACTTTCTATATTATAATATATGAATATTATTATAGCCAATCATTTTTGTGCAAAAATTATTAGGATATTACAGAAAAATAAATTACTACGCGTGCAGTTATAGTGCGTTTAGAGAGAACAAAAATTCACATCAAGGGGACACTAATTAATCTTATTTATATACTAAAGTGAAAATAATAATTAAATACGATCAGATAATTAAGACATTAAATTGTTTTTATATAGAGAGAAATAGAATAATTGGTTTTAATAATAAAGAAGACATACGAGTATGTCAAAAGATACTATTTAATATGAAAAAAAAAATTTCAAAATATTTAAAAATTTATAAATATATTTTCAGTGCTACAAAAAAAAATTTCAATTATGTTACATTGTATATCTAAATTAAATTAACCAAAACATATTTCTTGATTGTTAGAGCATAATATAAGAAAAAACCGTTACTTCGCGCGGCATAAAACCTAATTATACACGATCCGTTGTACATTCCAATATAATGCCTTCAACCAGTGATCTTGTGAATATAGACGTTAATAATAATAATAATATATAATACGGTAATAAAACGACAAAGAAACAATAAAAACAACATTCTTGAAGAGAGCAAAAAAAAATATATATATACAGGGAGCTTTTAAAATCATTTACTTCCTTTTTTGTAGCATAATATAAATTAGACTACCACTTCTAGGATATAGAAAGTTGCATATATATGAATGCAAATAGATATATAGTTACACTTGAGATGGAAAGGTTTTCAGAGAGAGAGAGAGAGGAAAAAAGAAAGAGTAAATAAAGTAAGATAGAAGGGGGGAGGTTAAAATGAGAAGGAGGATGGTAACTCCTTTGCCCCTTCGTCCTTTTCTTTGACATTTACGCGCCTTATGTTCGCAAATTGAGAAAGGAGATATAATATATTTACATGAACTTCCTTCATTCCATGATAATAAACTTCTTCTTAACAAGGATCAAGTCCACGCTTAATTATCATGAGATGAATGAATTCCAAGTTGAGAAAGTGTCAGGAATCATAAATGTCAGGAAGTATAACTGATATATACGTATGTACATGCGGTATTATAGTAGAAATAGTTTATATCTCGCTAACAAAATTAAATATAAAATTCACTTTACGTTCACTTTTATTATTGTACTTTATATAATTATTTATTCTTTATAAATTAATCTTTTTAATAAATATTTTTTTATTATTATATATATTAATTGTATAAATAAGATAAAAATTATTGTCCCGCTCATAGTAATAATAACTCAAGTGGAAATTGAATGATTTGTCCTCGGTCAAGGTAAAAATTAATATTATTATTATATTGATTATTAAAATAGATAAATAGAAGGCCATATTTATTTTTTTAATAATAATAATAATAAAAATAATATTAAATATTAATTAAATAATACTTATATATATTTATTAATGTTCATTGATCTAGATTTCACACAAGACTTAAATAAAAATAGTAACTCTCCTTAAAACTTTTCATAAAAAAAATATATATATAAATATAAGAAAGGCATTAGAAAATGATTACAAGTAGGTTCTTTGAATGTTGGCTATAAATTGCAAATACCAATGTGAAATAAGTAGCAATTCTCAGATGAAGCGATACTTGAGTTATTCTCAATGAGCCACTTAATGTTGAATAATAATTAATTTTTATGCTTTTAAATATATATATTGCTACTGTGCAGAACAAAAGTTATTTTTTTCCGTCATTGATTTTTATTATTAAAATGAAATAATAATAATAGTAAAAAAAAATAATAGTAATAATAATAATAAAAGTTGGTAGGTACTATTTGCAGAAATTTTTCTTTTTAGAGATGAGAATAATAATAAAAATAGTAATAATAAAAAATTAGAGGTACTATAACTTACAGATGAACTTTTTTTTTTTTTTTCAGAGATGAGAAGTGAGGTAGGAGAATGGTTGCCCACGTGCGTCGGTTCGCCAATTTGCATCCTACTTCTCTCTTGGTCACTGCTCATATACCAGAACCAACCATCTTCTTCAAAAAGAAGAATAGATATCCTGACGGTAGCAATTCTTACAGAAAGTCTCGTTCATCAACTTGGTTTATTATTGTACGCAATAATCACACTAATACGGCCAGCCAATCATTTTGGAGGTAACTGGAAAATAAAGAAAAAAAAAATTCAAACATTTTTCATATTAAACAATTTATTTTATTAATTAAAGAGAATAAATTATTTTTTTCAAAAAATAAAAATAGGTAAAAAATATTTTTTAATATTAAAAATTATTTTGAATATAACATTTTTCGTATATAAAATGGGGGGGGGGTGGAGAGGAAAATCACATTTAATAATAATAATAATAAATTCCATTAAACAAATTATGAAATATTATTAATTATTTTTCATCATCAATCTTGACCAAGTGTCATTAATCATGAATAAAAGAAAGAGAAAAAAAAAATTCAGTTCGACGCTTGGATGCACAAAATGATTATAGTATTGTTTCATGTATAAACGTCTGTATCTTATAACAATGCGAGGCGGCGGCGTCTATAATCAACATTACGTAAATCCATCAGCAACAATATAATTATTTCAGTGGGAGTGACCTTTCGGTGTCATTGCAATGGCTATAATTGAAATGTTAAATTGGGCCAGTCAAATATAATCTATATAATAATTTTTACAAAATTATAATATATATATACACAAAATCAATCATTTTTAATTTGTATGAAAATTTTATTTTATTTAAATAAATAAATAATTATATCACTGATTTTTGATAATGATCTATGGATCATAGATCTAACGATGAATTTATGAATCTTTGGGTCAATGACTTTAGTTGTATGAAATTTATAAATCCATGATCTTAGAATCTTTTAGATAGAGATTAATGATTAATAAGGATTAATGATCTATTGATTTCTGGATCTTATGATCTATAGATGAACGATCTATTGTTAATTATATTATGTATATTTTTTTCTTATTATTTATATTTACGTAGTATATTTATAACATATTCTTAATTATATCATATTTATTATCAATGGATCAATGATCTATAGGAATCCGTATGGATATATATAATCTGTGGATCAATGATCTATAGATTAATGTTCATGATTTCAGATGAATAGATATATGAACTTATATTTTATAATTATTTGACCTATGGATTAACGATCTATGGATCTATAATTTATGTATCAATGATCTATAGATCTATGATCTATAGATCGTATATCTATGGATTATAGATCTATATAGATTATAGAACTAACTATAACTTTATCAATCTTCGGGTCAATGACTTTAGTTGCATAAATTTATTAATCCATGATTATTGATTTCTGGATCAATGATCTATGGATCAATAATCTATGGATCAATGATCTATAGATCAATTATCTATAAATCAATTATCTACGGATCTATGATTGTATAAATTTATAAATCCATGATTATTGATCTATGGATTAATGACCCGCGTGAAAAACGAACTATGGGAAAAAGCTATCAAAAGCTGGCAAAAGATGGGAGAAGATTTTCGCCATTGTTTTTAAGTTTTATCCCATACTTCAAAGAATTGCAAAAAGCTCACAAACCATTGCTTATGAGCCTTTCCCATACTTTTTTTTAATATCATATAACATTGCTAAAATCTTGCCAAAGTATTGCAAAAATATGGGAATAAAATAAAGTCAATTTTTTCTAACTTACTTCTTATTTTTCTCATTTTTTTTCTGAAAATCATTGCAAAACAATGGGAAAAAGATTAATAAAGAAAAAATTTATTTTTCTCATTTTTTCATCTTTAAAAATTAGATTTTTAAAGTATTGCTAAAACCTGGCAAAAATATACGAACAAAATTAATCAATTTTTCTCGTTATTTTAGCTTTAAAAATCTGATTTTTGAAGTATTGCAAAAATATGGGAATAAGATTTTGAAAGAAAAAATCAATTTTCCTCTATTTTTCAACTTTGAAAATTTGATTTTTAAAGTATTGCAAAAATATGGGAAAAAGATTTTGAAAGAAAAAATCAATTTTCCTCTATTTTTCAACTTTAAAAATTTGATTTTTAAAGTATTGCAAAAATATGGGAAAAAGATTTTGAAAGGAAAAATCAATTTTCCTCTATTTTTCAACTTTAAAAATTTGATTTTTAAAGTATTGCAAAAATATGGGAAAAAGATTTTGAAAGAAAAAATCAATTTTCCTCTATTTTTTAACTTTAAAAATTTGATTTTTAAAGTATTGCAAAAATATGGGAAAAAGATTGGTAGTGAAAAAATCAATTTTCCTTATTTTTTAAACTTTAAAACTGTTTTTTAAAGTATTGCGAAATCATTGGAAAAAGATTGGAAAGAAAAAATCAATCTTTCTCGATTTTTCAGCTTTAAAATTTTGATTTTTAAAGTATTGCAAAAATATGGGAAAAAGATTTTGAAAGAAAAAATAAATTTCCTCTAATTTTCAACTTTAAAAATTTGATTTTTAAAGTATTGCAAAAATATGGGAAAAAGATTGGAAAGAAAAAATCAATTTTCCTCTAATTTACAATTTTAAAAATTTGATTTTTAAAGTATTTTCCTCTATTTTTCAATTTTAAAAATTTAAGTTTTAAAGTATTGCAAAAATATGGGAAAAAGATTTTGAAAGAAAAAACCAATTTTCCTCTAATTTTCAATTTTAAAAATTTGATTTTTAAAGTATTTTCCTCTATTTTTCAATTTTAAAAATTTGAGTTTTAAAGTATTGCAAAAATATGGGAAAATTGATTTTTCCTTTCAAAATCTTTTTCCCATATTTTTGCAATACTTTAAAAATTTAATTCTTAAAGTTGAAAAATAGAGGAAAATTGATTTTTCCTTTCAAAATCTTTTTCCCATATTTTTGCAATACTTTAAAAATCCAATTTTTAAAGTTGAAAAATAGAGGAAAATTGATTTTTTCTTTCAAAATCTTTTTCCCATATTTTTGCAATACTTTAAAACTTAAATTTTTAAAATTGAAAAATAGAGGAAAATACTTTAAAAATCAAATTTTTAAAATTGTAAATTAGAGGAAAATTGATTTTTTCTTTCCAATCTTTTTCCCATATTTTTGCAATACTTTAAAAATCAAATTTTTAAAGTTGAAAATTAGAGGAAATTTATTTTTTCTTTCAAAATCTTTTTCCCATATTTTTGCAATACTTTAAAAATCAAAATTTTAAAGCTGAAAAATCGAGAAAGATTGATTTTTTCTTTACAATCTTTTTCCAATGATTTCGCAATACTTTAAAAAACAGTTTTAAAGTTTAAAAAATAAGGAAAATTGATTTTTTCACTACCAATCTTTTTCCCATATTTTTGCAATACTTTAAAAATCAAATTTTTAAAGTTGAAAAATAGAGGAAAATTGATTTTTTCTTTCAAAATCTTTTTCCCATATTTTTGCAATACTTTAAAAATCAAATTTTTAAAGTTGAAAAATAGAGGAAAATTGATTTTTCCTTTCAAAATCTTTTTCCCATATTTTTGCAATACTTTAAAAATCAAATTTTTAAAGTTGAAAAATAGAGGAAAATTGATTTTTTCTTTCAAAATCTTATTCCCATATTTTTGCAATACTTAAAAAATCAGATTTTTAAAGCTAAAATAACGAGAAAAATTGATTAATTTTGTTCGTATATTTTTGCCAGGTTTTAGCAATACTTTAAAAATCTAATTTTTAAAGATGAAAAAATGAGAAAAATAAATTTTTTCTTTCTTAATCTTTTTCCCATTGTTTTGCAATGATTTTCAGAAAAAAAATGAGAAGAATAAGAAGTAAGTTAGAAAAAATTGACTTTATTTTATTCCCATATTTTTGCAATACTTTGGCAAGATTTTAGCAATGTTATATGATATTAAAAAAAAGTATGGGAAAGGCTCATAAGCAATGGTTTGTGAGCTTTTTGCAATTCTTTGAAGTATGGGATAAAACTTAAAAACAATGGCGAAAATCTTCTCCCATCTTTTGCCAGCTTTTGATAGCTTTTTCCCATAGTTCGTTTTTCACGCGGGGATCTATGAATTAATTATCTATGTATCAATTAGCTATGGATCAATTATCTATGGATCTATGATTTGTGGCACAATTATCTAAGGATCTATGATCTATGGATCTATGATCTATAGATCTATGATCTACAGATCACATAAAGATATACGGAAAATGAATACAATTAAACAGTTGAACTCTTTCAAGATTTTAAAGTGAAAAAAAAATGCAAAAGCATATTTACTATATTGAAGAATATATATATATTGTATATATATAAATTTGAAGTATGTTTTTTTGCTGACATTATTATTTTCTTGTAAAATTCAAAGGCATTGAAATATTTTTCATTATAAAAGTTTTAATATCCAACAATTATCTTTTTCTGACAACACATTAAAGAATTCGCTTTTATACCAGATCCAATTACTACTTCTTCTTCCAATTTGCAATTACCACCCAATTACTGCATACTTGATGCACTTTTTAACACCATTTTTTTTTCTTATCCATATATAGCATTCTCTTAACATTTTACCCGCACAATTGCCCCGGAGAGTCCACATTTATCCACGTGCGGTATATTTCATTCATTTTTTTGTTTGTTTTTGTTTTCTTGTCGAATCAACTGAAGCACATAAATCTTTAATACTTTTTTCTGTTTTTTTTTTTTTTTTATTTTATAGAATTATGTTCGACCTTGGTGTGGATGCTGAACTCGTCGAGTATCCTTCAGGAGTTGACTTTGACGTCAATCGCCATCTTTGCAGCGATTAGCAAACAGGAAAACTTGAACCTAACGAAAAATCATCTCAAGTATCATGTTGTTTGTCTTAGTGTTGTTAGTGCGTGTATTGGCGTAACAGGTATTCTCAATTTTGAACAAAAAATTTGTGTTTTTCTACCACAAGAAATATCATTGAAATATGGAATTTTTATAAATTCATTGAGAATATTATTATTAATGACATCGCTATTGAGTTTATTTATAAATTTATTTAAAAATTCATGTCGTCCTGTTAAAAGTGAATTATTAAAATCAGTATCCGATTTATCGGAAGCAAGTTCAAAAAATTCATCTGGAGCTTATGAATGCCATCAACAACATTGGGAGCCATCGAGTGGTTCTTGCACTAGTGGCTCAACAAATAGCAGGACCTGTTTGAAAAAAAAGAAGATTCAAGTTGATGAGGCCAGTGGAAGGTCCACCGTTTTCAGCATTCTTTTCGTCTGTTATATTTTCGACAGTCTTCCAACTTTGGTAAGAATTTTTGTATTTTTATTCCAACAAATTTTCGTATAAGTTTTTAATTTTCAAACAATTCAAAATGGCGGATCCAATATGGTGGTAAAAATTAAAATTTTGATTGCATTCAATTTGTTAAAATTGAAAATAATTATGTGACCCAAAAAAAATCACTTCAGTGCGAGTTTTCAATTTAAAGTACCACACACAACGATTTTTTTTTTTTTTATGTATTTATAGTTTTTGCGAGCTCTGACCGCGAAGACATTTCGTAATACACGAAACTGCATGTAACAGGCCAAGCATAACGCCAACCGCGGCATAATGGACTGAACGGTCAAATTATTATTGTAGGCAGTAGTAGAATATTTGTAACTGTAGATTCTATCGCTAACGAGAAGAGTGGATTGCATTTTGCCTCGTGAGCCACTTTATCATGATATATATTTCATATTATTAGAAGATTGTGAACAATGAGTCATATTATGATCTCGAAATTTATTATTTTAATTTCAAGCAAATAATGGACCACTTCAGTTTTTCTAGAAAATATATTTTTAAAAAACTAACAAAAATTGTGTTTTTTTTTTAAATTATTAAAATTAACAATACCGTGATTCAATTCAATAGATGTTTAATTAAACAAATAATAAATTTTACCACTCCTGCGTTCGTAAAATATATATAATGATCGAAAGTTTATTTTTAATACAATCGTGCGTGCAAACTCGAGCCGGAAACTGGCTTCGTTGAACTTCCAATGCGACTTCCGGAAGTGAAATAAAATGAAAATACAACTACTCGATTGGGATTTTTTTTTTAATGCGACTCTATATAGAGCACACGAGAGTATTATATACAAACTTAACGAATTATGTTTCATATTATATATATATATAATTTACGTAATAATAAAAAAAATCGTGTTTTCAATTAAAATCATAATTTCAAAAAAAAAGAAGTTTTCACAAACTGCAAATTACAGAAAAAAAATATGTGTCTTCATTTAGCTAACATTGATTTTCTAATTACGTGGTAAGATTGAAACTTCACTTTCTAATGGTTCTTATTAATTATGATTTCAATTTTTAATTATCAAGAATCATATACATTAAAGTCTACCATCAAGATATGATTTCGAAAAGCAATCTTGAAAATATTCTGTAACATGAGTGAATTTTTATTTATTCAATGATATTTCGCTGTAACTATAATTTTATTCGAAAAAAAATCAATTTCTAGTTTATTAATTTGAAATTTTCATTTCAAGTAAAATATTATTAGATTAGATTTATCAAAATAATCGAAATTTTAATTATAAATTTACATATTTCGATCAATTTTTTTTTTTTTTCCTCTTTCAAATATAAAAAGGAGTTTAAAAATTGATTTTAGTTACGTAAAATAATTTTTGTACTAATTTAAATGATTCAATATATAATCTTATATATTTCACATTCATCAGTAAACCTTTCTCTTCTAATTTAATTTTTACCAATCTTTTTTATTTTATAACAAATTTGTTACAGAAATAAAGATTAATATATAATTTCTTCTATTCAAAATAATTATGCAATATTATAATATTGAAAAAAAAAATTCTATGCGCAGTACAAGTGAAAGTAGATTCTTCTATTGTACATTTTTCTATTACAAAAGAAGAGACATAGCTTTAAGATTTCTCTCTATTCAAAAACAATGAGATATTTAGTTCTTTTGCTGATTTGAACCTTTAATTAAAATTTTCATTTGATTTTCTTTTTTTGTGATCGAATTTTCAAATAATCATTTTTGAAAAATTATGTCACTAAATTAGCATATTCAACGTAACACGATGTTGTAAATTAAATCTTAATTACTCATCGATAATTAAATATGTAGTTCAACTTTTTTTTTGTGCTAAGAAATGGAAAATTAAATTAAAAATAGAATTAAAACAATATTTAAAAATAAAAATATTTTCTCGTTCACTTTTTTGTTAATATTTAGTTTCTAGAATATCCTAATGCATTTTATAAAATATGCCTCTCAAATAAAAAAAAGTATTTGCATTGATTAAGCTATAAATACCAATTAAAAGAAATCAACTTCTTTAGATGCAGAAACAGTTTAGTCCGAGTATGAAATCACATTTTATATAGCCATCTGTATGTACAAATATATATATATATAGAGAGAGAAACTGCTCATCATAAGCGAGAGTATGTGAGGGGATTACATGTTGAGTTGTATTAACGCGTGCTATTTTCTAATTAGGTACACTAGTTTCGATTTCATACCACGTACTAGACCGGCTTCGTAACACACTCGGCAAAGCATATTTTTTTTCAATACACTCTCATTGAAAAGTTTTCTATATATACAAGATTTCAATACACTCTTAATTTCAATCCATTTAAAGAAAATACATACAAAATGTTTATATACACACATACACATAATTATACGCACATTAAATACAAATAGTAAGAAATTTACACTTTTCCTTGTAGTAAACATATATATATGTATATAAAAAATGAATAATTAATCATGAATATGTGTGTATTGTATTTTAATAAAGATACTTTTGAAAGCGCAACCGAATATTTTCACTAGCGGGGACGAACGTTAATATTATAAAATCGAAAGCCTATGAAGAATGTTTTTTTATTTGTAATGAGAAACAAAATGAAATGGAGCACTAAGTGAAACACGTTTTTCATTCAAAAGATCATATTTAGACAGGTATACTTCAATTGACTTTTTGATTAATATTATATTTCTAGATATAACTTTCAATAGTAAAAAAAATTAAATATTAAAGAGAGAGTTGATGTCAAATAATCTCTGAATATTTACCAGTGAAAGTTCTATTTTTTGTTTAAAAAAATATTTGATCGAAAATGACAAATTCAAAATTTTCGATTAATGACGACGAAAATAAGAAAAAAATATTTACAAAAAAACAATAGTTTCAGGTTATAAGAACTAGTTGCGTAGGAAGATGCGCAGAAGTTAGCTCTAATTTACTTACCGGCTAATGTCGGTAACAAAGATTATTTGAATCAAAATAAATTATTTTTAGTTCATTTTGAACAATATTTTCGATATTTTGTGAAAACAATTATAGAAATGATTTTCTACAACCACTTTTATTATTATTGTTATAGTAATTGTTTGCATTTTATATATGGAAGAGAGAATTAGTTTTACGTAACTTTTCATTATTAGTAGTGCGCTGCGAAATTAAATATATATAAATACGTCGAGAAGAGAAAAAGAGAACAGTCTCAGGAATGAGGAAGAGATTCTTGTATGCGCATTTAAAAGAATCTGATGACTTTTCTGGCGAAAGCATATAAACCCCATGTTTTCATTTTTACGTTGATATTTGCTCTATCTCTTTTTAGTTGTTTTCTGACTAAAGTTTTTCCTATTTCTTTTTTTTTGAACTGATCAAGAATCCGGTATTACGTTTTAAACTATGTAAAAATTTACTTCATATAAAAAAAAAATGCTTTTAAAACATCGCTTATTTCTGAACAAACAAAATTACAAGGCTAATTTTTATTACTGTGCGGTTGTTAAAATCCGTTAGAATTTCAAAAAAAAAAAAAAAGTGAAAATAAAATCCCTAAATGAATATAAGATGAAAACCAGAAGAGGCCTAATCATATTAAATGTTTCAGATAATCTCCATTTGGCCAGAACTATTCAAAGATTTTTGTACACCACAAAACTTAGCCACATGGCTACCACTGTTGAAAGACACACTTCTTCCTGTATTTCTTGCAATGTTCGATAAAATGTTCTGTCGCTATGTGGCCAAAGTCTATACAAAACAAGATCATTCAATGAAGATATCACACGGTATGTTCAATATTCAATTAAATCCATAAATTTTCGAAAATAAATTTCAATTGTATACAAGAAATTAGTTAAGAGAAATTGAATCCTATTTGAAAATTATATTATATAATTTTATAAAATTAAAAGTGAATCCGAATTACTTTCACTATAATAAAAAGTCCTTCATATAAACTAAAGATTCGTATCTGAATTTGTTATTATGTTTTTATTAATGTTTGAAAGTATATTTTCATTTTTTTTTTCTATTTAATATTGTTATTCTATGGAAAATAACTATCGGAAGTAGTGGTTACATTAAAATCAATTTAATGCCTTTTTGTAAACTTCCCTTCTATTGAGGTTACTAACTAGAAATTCATTTCCTTGCATTGACAAAAAGACTGGCTTCCTTTTATTTAGTCAGCAATGTCAGTAATTTCTCACTTTCATGTACCAATTGTAATATAATTTAGGTTAAATAAAAAATAATTTAACAATACTCGACTTTTTCCACTGCAAACTCGAATTTCTTTAGAAATATTTTATTAAACCAATTGAAACATAAATAGCTAAAATATTATAAAATTGAATACTACACTGTATTTTTTTTTCTTATAATTTCCATGCTATACAACTTAGGCAGTATAGATGGAAAATTTCGTCATTTTGAACACGACGCTGAATACAAGTTGCAGCTGAATTTAAATCACGGTTTAAAATTCCCTCTTACAAACGGAAGTCTCTATGGACGATTGCATAATCATCAGAACAGAGGTGTGTCACTTTTTATGATCCTTAATATTCAATAGCTTAAATTAAACAAGAATCATATCGTTGAGCATGAACGAATCTTAAATTTTTTTCCGTTTCCTTTTTTTTTAAAGCGAGAACTGGAACTATTACCATGGGGATTCAACATTATCCAAGGTCACAATCTACAAATGATGATAATGCCTATGGGTCTCTTTCGCCGGAAGTTGCATCCTTTACAAGTTCAACTTTCGAACCACGTATTGATCCACCAGTCAAAACATCGTTCGAACAACAACAACAACGAAATAACAGAGATTATGAAAATTTCGAATATGGCAAACGAAGAAAAGTTGGTAGCACTGATGTTTTTGGACAGAATTTAGAGAATCTCGTGCAACTTGATAATCCATCGAAAAGAAAATTTACAAAAAGTTTAGATGAAATTCGCGAAGAAGTGCCGAGGAAAATTGATAGAAGTGTTCCTGGTTTGGAAAATTTAGTAGCGGGATTGGAGAAAAATAGATCAGATGAAGTGCAATTCCAAAGGAATGCTGTTAGAAGAAACCAAAGTTTCGATCAAGCGAGGTGGGTATAAAAGAGACTGCTGTTATACTTCCTGTTACTTATATTATTACGATTATTACGATTATTACGATTATTACGATTTGTTACTGTTTCTGTTATTATTACAATTTGATTTTCATAAATTTTTAATCAGCTCAAGATGATTCCTAAACCTAATACCTAAAACAGAAAAAATCATTAAAAACAAAAATTATAAATGTAACACAATAAAGAATTTTTTCCATGTAATTTAGTATGGAATAAAACTCAAATTATCTCCCTTAAGAACTTGAATTAATTTATAAACTAAATTTCTGAAAAAAATGCCACTTAAACAATTTTTATTTCAGTTCAGTGCAATTTGAAAATTTCAAAGCGAAATATTTCAACCTTGGTAGATTTCCACGACAAGGAATGGACTCGAGGACATATGATATTAAAAAGGATGCGATTAGACGTGATCAGTTACAAGCTCTACATTCGAAACAAAACGCCGAGGATAATGATGCCGATTATGAATCTTCGGATGACGAAAGCTGTGACCTTGAAAGTGGTGATTTTGATACTATGAGCTCATGTAAAAGCAGAGCGAGAAGTTGTTGTTCAGTTACAACTGTTGCTAACGATGACTTTGAATTTTTCCAAAGGAAAGGAACTAAGGTAAAAATACTTTAATTTTCAATGACCCTTATTTATACTTCGATACAATCACTTTTTCTAATTTTACTTGTTATATTCAAACTTTACCATTCATGGATGAGAAATCTGTTTATAAGAATTCAACTTTCTAAATTTTTTTTTTCTATCATCTCATCTCTCAATAAAATTGAAAAAGAATTTCATTTTATTTTTCTAAAAATCCATTAGATTCAAACAAGTTTCAAATTCACATAAATTTGACGATTATATTTAGGAAATAATAATCAAAAAAGACTAACAGTTTTATATAATATAAATTTTGTAGGTGGAATTATTGCCTCTCAAAAAAGGTAATGGAAGTAAAATAAATATGCGTACATTCACGCCAAAAATCATTGAAAATGAAGCAACTCCAACAGGGACTGACAATAGTAGAAATGAAAAAATTGACACAAAACCAGTTATTCAATCATATCATTTAAAAAAGAAAATCACTGCCGGATATTCAATGAACGATATCGATAAAATCGATAATAATACAATAATGCCAAATCTTTCAATGGAAAGTCTTCGCAGTATACTCAAAAATACTGACGTCAGTTATCTCGACAGTGGGGAAATTTGTAGGCACGATATTGGTGGATCTGTTCCTGATTTCAAGAAAATATTTCTCACCGAATTCATTTAGAATTAAATTCTTTATTGTATAGTCAATCATAAATCAAAAAAAAAAATAATAATTTCTTTCTTTTCTATTAAACATAAAAAAAAATAATTTAACACAATTCTTGTACATAAATAATTGTTCGTTATGCTAATTTATGATTCAAAGGTAAAATTAATTAAGAAAATGTAGAAAAATATTGATTTTAACTGACTAGAATGCGATTTATGTGAGAAATCGTTGAACGTAACCAGAGCGATGATAAAATTTATGTGTATATATTTTGTATATGTATATCGCACTACTTAATATTCAAAAAAATGTTAATAATTATATCAAATAACTCAAATGAACCGGACGTTAATTAAAAACAAAAACATTATAATATTGAGAAAAAAAAAATAATCCGTTGACTATATTATATGGTCAAATGAGATTTTAAAAAACTAAACATTGTCATAAAACTGTACTATTTTATTATTAATTAATTTTTCAAATAGAAAACCTAGTTTTATTTGAAAAATAAATTAATAACTTTTATATCTTCAAAAAAAAAATTAAGCGATGACAATATAATTTTACTTTAGAAAAGTTTAATCTTTAATAGATAGTATTTTATGTGTCAATTGAAATAATGTAAAAATAGTTTTCTTATTAATTCATCGACAAATTTGTAATTGCGCAATTATAATTAATTTTGTAATATTTTTAGAAGAAAAAAAACATAGTTCACTAAATCCATCAAAATGGAAAAATATTTAAAAATTGTGAAATTAATACAAAATTAACGAAATTGAATATTGCTTTATATAATTTTCTAATATACTCAATTGTAAAAATGTAAATAGTCATAATATGTATGTGAAATTTAAAATAAAAATATGTAAAGTCTGTTTCTTAAAAATATTTGTCCATTTTTTAAATTGTTTTTTTTTTGTTTTAATTGTTATTAATTATGAAATTAATATTTAAATTATATAAATTATTAATCATGAAATAAATAATTTATAGTTGAAAAATAATGAAATGAAAAATATAGAAATTAAAGAAATTGATTTCGATTTACCCCTTTATAATACAACCCGCATTACACGTGTGTATAAAATTTGGAATTCATTAATTTTCTTATTTAGAATTCATTTAAATTTTTGTAATTAAATTGTAAATCAATTTTGTTAATATTTCTTGTGCCTATTTTTGAAAAAAAAGATTAAAATAATAAAAAAGAAGTAATAAAAATTGTAATATACCTCTATATTTTATCCTTCGTTTATCGATCACTAGATGGCAAACATTGTCCAAGGAAGAAGTTTACAATTTACTTGTACATGTGCTTGTTTTTTTTTGTATACACACAACATAGTTTTAACATATTAAATATTTTCATTTTCATTTTTAGAACACACACAAGCATAGCGCCTTGGCGCCAAAGTTATATAGAAAAATATTCATTTCTGTGTATAAATAATTATTGCAAATACCATTTGCAATGATTGCCAAGCAACTAATGTAATGTGAGCCAAAATTGTGATGAACATGGTGAGAAAAGAGAACAGTAATTTTTGGATCTTACGAAATTTATCATAGAGAAGAATATTGAAAAAGAAAAATGAATACTGATAATGAGGAACGTATTTTGGATGCAGAACAATGGAAATTAGAAGCGGAATCTGTCATAAATGATGTGAAAAATCATGTACAAAATTTTGTATTATCCGAAAAATTACTAAGTACAAATTCGGCAATTTTTTTAAATCTCACAACACTTGAGAATTTAAAATTTTGCATTAAATTAACAGCAGCCGGATTCACTATTATTGGCAATCAACATGACGATACATCCAATAATGAAAATATGTATTTCGAAACACCTTACAGTTTACTTGATTTTGTCAGTCCACAATATAGAAATTCTTTCGGGAATTCTTTATTAAATAAATTAAATCAACTTAAAGAAAATCAAACTGACATTTAAAAAAAAAACTTAACCCCCTAAATATTGTATTTATAAGTTTTATATTTTATAATAAATTCAATAAAAAAGAATTCAATAGAAATAAAATTGTTATTTTGAATTTCAGTACCAAAATATAGAAACATAACCTCAAAATGTTATCTATTAAAAACTCGTATTAAATATAAACTAGCTTACCTTTCAAAAACAATTACTTTCTATTTTACAATTGAAACATAATAGTCAACAATTAAAATACAACAATATATCTTATTAATTTGCATGTACATATAACAGAATGACGTTTAGAAAAGTGTAGGGCTCCAGGGTAGGGAAGCTACATTCCTGCATTTACCCCTCGGGTATTTTCGACTAAAAGCCGAACATTATCGAAGAGTAAATGACATACGTTTCCAAAAGCACCAATCAACGAAGTTTGTGAAGTTAGTCGAATATTTTGGATGTATAAAGAAAAAATTAGTGTAATTACAATTTTCAATAGTGCAAGAGTTATTAAACAATAATATAATTATTTCAAAAAGGTAAAGTATTATTCGTTTTATCAATCAAAAAAAAAAGTATGTGAATTGATAGTTTTTTATGAAATTGTCAAATATGACAAATCTCCTGCAACTAACTTAACGAGGTTAGATTTCGGAATTTCGGAGTAGAGAATAACGCAGAACATATAACTCCCCAGATTCTCATGTAGAAATTATTGTTCGATGAATAGTATTTGTGTTCGACAACAATTTCTTGCTTGAAAGAGTTTATTTTTTTCAGTTTTAATGTTTTTGAGTTAAAAAAAAAATTGTGTTCAATTGAATAATTACGTTTTTAAATATAAATTTTTTCATTCTTTTTGCATCGCCTCGGAAAACTCACTTTCTCATTGAACTTATTTTATCTTCGATAAACATTATTAAACAATTCTATATATAATTAGAATTACCTATAAATATACAAATGTTTTGGTGTTCGTGGTGTTGTCTTATGCAGGATAATACAATTGATAGTAAGTTTTGTGCATTTTCTATAAACAAATAGTGATGATCAACTAATGACGATGACACGCCCGCGAAGGCCGACGATGATGATATTTTAAATTCACAACTTAAACTCCTGGTGGATTATTATATTTAATATTTTTTTGTTTTTATTTCATTTTTACAGTGCAAGTGTTGTTTCAATGTGAAATTTATCCAAGGATTTTGTGATTATAAAAAGAAAAACTGTCCGGTTTCTTGGATGTGTCATCGTGTAACTAGGTGGGTCACAATCACCACTGGACATTCAACATTAATTTCGGAGAGGAGAAAAAATTCGTCAATTTTTACAATTACTATAATAATATCAACACACCTATAGGTCTTTGACAGGTCAGTGACTCACGCAGTTTTGTCTCTCTTTTTCTGGGGTCAGGGTTGCTAACAAACCCAGGGAAAGTATACTGAATACAATAAAATGTCTATATCCGCATTTCTCTACACTATTTTTGTAACAAAAAAAAATAGAAGGATCTATTTAAAAATGTTTATTATTTTTGTTTTTTATTTTTCTATTTTGTGTTTATTTTAATTTTAAAAAAGAAACCGGCATTTAAATTAACGATCCTTGGTGAAATGTTCAAAAATAGAAAAAATTGACGTAGGTCGTTAGAATTGAGGAGAAAAAAGGTATAAAGGCTAAAGTAGAACGACTTAATGAAGCTTGAACTTTGATGCCAAGAATTCTAATGTCTTAAATGTGTAACAAAATATAAATTTTGTCTTTCTGAATTTTTGTTAAATTTCTCTAAGCTAGATAATCTTTTTTCATTAATCTCCTAATTGGATAATTATTAAATCAAAATGTTTAATTGAGTGAGAAAAATGTGTGTCCCCCTAAGTAAAGTTATTTCAGAGTAATTTAGGGGTCATCTTCAAGTGCACTAACATGGCATTTTTATGACCTCAAAAATTTTTAACGAAATTAGATCATAAAATTCTGTATTAAAAGATAATGGTATTTAAAAATTTAAAAAGCAAAAAAACAATTTAATGCTAATTAATTTTTTTCATCGATGTTTATCAAAATAATATTCATTAAAAAAAAAATTATATAATAATTGTGTGAATATGAAAATAATTTCATTTAAAAAATTTACGGGCGAGACTTATTAAAATATATATATGTGAAGCTTAGAAAGTTTGTTTCAATATCTAATTAGAAGTGAAAGTTCAATAAACTGCAGACAATTTTAATAAATATCCATTGGAAACTCGTTGAAATTGCAGTATATATGGAATTGTCGATGAAATTTTTACTAATAAAAACTAAACATTATAATAAAAAATTGAAATCAATATTTTAAAATTCACTTTTTGTCACGATATAAATTCATTTTCTCAAAAGTATTTATAATATTTATATAAATGTTGAAATAAAAAAGCTTTTATCTGTTTTTGATAATTTCTGCAAAAACCAATTGATTCATAGGTACTGATAAGATACGATAATACGTTTTCAGTCAATATATCTAACAAGTTGTTCAAGAAAAAAAAAAAAAAAAAATAGTTTTAAAAGCCACAGTTCATTCTCCATTCAATAAACGTGCTGGAAATAAATTTTATTCTCTTGACAAACGTCTTCGTATAGTAGATTAAGTCTTTATATACCACAGTAATAATAATAGTGATCATACATAGAATGAAGTGTCGTGACTTACAAGTTAAAGAATTTGTAATTATGCACGAAATATTAAAAATTGTGAATAAAAAATCAGTCTCTATTTTCTATACGTAATAATTCGTGATAGATAATTAATAGCTGATGAGTATAAATTTTATTTTTTTTATCTTAATCTGGATTCAAGATTACTGATTACTCACTTCTTACTCACTATAATATTATCATTCATTTCATATACACATATACGACGAGGAAGACATGAAGCGTGCATATCTAACTATAAACTCATTTCTTTCAAGGTCCTATAGAAACCTGAGAGCAAATGCGAAGATTTGATTCGAGATCAACTCGAGAGAAAAAGGAATGGCTAGCTTGATGGTGAATACTTCAAGTAAAAACAGCTCGCGAAGTACTTCACCGAATAGAACAAATTCTCAGGGAATTCAGAATCAACAACAACAACAACCACCAACAGCCAACCTGGATCACACACCAAAAACTCGGAATGCTGCTGCCGTGTAAGTTGTTTTATCTCTAAATGTAAATTGTTAAAACAAACTTCGAAAATAACTTTTTTTCATTCAAAAATTAATTTTAATTGAGATTGGTAAATTATTTTTAAAAAAATATTAATTATACGAAGGATTAAAAGTAATATAATAATATTAAATTAATTCCTTTTTTCATTTTATAATTCATTAAAAATTCCAAAAGTCAAAAGAATACAAAAAAGAACAATTTAAAAATTATAATACAAAATTTTCTATTTATTAAAATTGTCTTAAAATGAAATAGAATTGCCATAAGGTTTAAAAGTTATCTCGCAACAAATTCCTTATTGTTAAAATAGAAACTTTGCTCTTTGAACAATTGAATAATAATTTTCTTATCAACAATTCCACGCAGCAAACAAAGGAGTTCCTTAAAAATATAATTATTATTTAAAGAAATAAATTCCGTTTCTTAATAATATATTGTTGTAAATTATCAATGTTATAATGAATTTCAACAATTATACAATTCTTTTTCAATGATGAGATACTAATTACTTTATATATTATTTATTGTTTCAAATTATATATAAAATGATTCACATAAAAGTTTAAAAAGTATTAATAATATTGGAATAATTCTATATTATTTATAATTAATGAGACAATTTGTATTCAATTTAATACTATTTTAAACACATTAAGAATTTTTTTTTTTTAACACTGTTCATTGAGTATAATATATATTTTGATAGTATATGATTTTATGAAATTGTACCTCTTTGTAAAATGTGTATGCTAATCCAAGCATCACAATGTGACCCTCCTTTGTCAAAGGATATAGATAGCATCATAAACCAAGTGATGCTTGAATGATGCACTGTGTCTCCTGCGATTATTATTTTATCAATACAATTAATAGAATAATGTTAAATTTATTTATTATAAATATTACTTAATTAATTGTTTATTTTTTAAATATTTTTTTTTTGTTTAACAAAGTTCTGATCCTAAAGTTTCAATAGCCAAGTCAACCTTGACATTCTTTTTGATATTTATTACTCACATATTTTTAGATTCTCCATACATTTCTGAAGGGTGGGAAAAAAAGATTTCAAGGCCTTATTTTTATGTATATTTAAAAAAGTTATTGAATGACAATGTTATTGGATTTTATAAAAATATAAAATAAATTTAGAAAATCGACTTTTTGATGAAAAATTGAAAATTTTTTTAATATTGATCAAACGAAAAGATTTATTTAAAGAAATTGGGCTTTTGACCTCATGTAAAAAAAAATTGTTATCGTGAAATTGCTTGACAGAAGAAATCATTGAATTATCTAATTAAAATTATATTCAAATCAATGAGTAAAGAAATTCTTTGAATTATATTGACTTTGATGTATAACGAGATGTAAGAATTATAGATATGATTTTCTTTCAATTTTTAATGCATCCGTATATGAATAGTTGTCAATAGAAATATGAATATGCTAATCATTTGCAATGATCAAATATACAATGTGCACTTTGTGATTCAGACATCAAGCAGGAGAAGGTAGCACGGGCAGTGGCAGCAGCTGTGGAGGAGGGGGTGCTACCGGTATGAAGAGTACCAGTCGACAAAGATCACCGGGTGCCGTGGTACGAACTGGTGACACCATGGACGAATCAAACATCAGCACAATCACTGCCGATACTGAAGAGATTGTGCCAAATATTCAACCACTAAATGACGATGAGGGAGTACGTTTTCTATTTAAAAACAAAAAAACATTCATCGTTTTTCACCTTTCAATTTCTAATTATCGAATATATTTTTCGTCAAAATTGTAATTCATTAATATTGCCCCAACAATCGTGACTTCATTTACATATAATTTGCATCAAACGACTCTGATTTGAATATTAAAATTCTTAAGAGACTATTAGTAAATAATTTAACTTTTTTTTTTTAATTCTCAATAGAAAATTTTTCAGTAAACTATAAAAAGTCTTTTATGATCTAAAAATTAACAAACAAAAAAAGTAAATAAATAGTTAATTTTTCTTTTTTGTTTTGTAATTAAAACAAGATAGTCATTAAAATTGCTGACTATTGAATTTTGATATTATACTAGCGCATACAACTGGAATTTCATAATTTACGCTAACTCATGTGATTGTTAATTTCTGTGACAGGACGCACATCATCATCACACGCAATCGTTCCTATCGAATGGCTCAACAGAGTTGATAAGCGACGACATTGATTCAAGTGCCACGCGATTTCGTCAAGCCATCGAACATATTCAAAGTAAAATTGCCCGAACGAGAGATTTGATTCGTGTTGAACAAACCACCCGAGACGGTCAGTTTCTCAAATGCAAATATTTTTTCCAATAAAAATTTAATTTTACTACTTTTATTTATAATCATCATTTGAAATAAGTAATCTTATTCCTTTTTCCCTCTCATTCTTATGCAAATTTTTCACTTTTGTATATCAAAAAGGATATCCTCTCTATTTAATAATTTATCATAACTATTCCTGTGATATTAAAAAAAAAGAAATTTCCTTCATGAGGAGAAATTTAGAAAAAAAAATTTTAAATGTATTTAATGGAAAAAAGTATTTTTCTTTTAGAAAATGTAAATGAATATCTCAAACTCGCTGCAAGTGCTGATAAGCAGCAACTTACTAGGATTAAGACTGTTTTCGAGAAAAAAAATCAAAGATCAGCGCATACAATTTCACAATTACAAAAAAAATTAGACAGTTATACAAAAAAATTGAAAAATTATGAGATAAATGGCGCTCCCGCGAGTCATCGACAACCAAGGGAAGTTCTTCGAGACATGGGACAAGGGCTAAAGTAAGATTTTGTTTATTGTTTTATGTATAAAATAATATTAATTAATGAAATTTATAATTGTTTTTATTTTTAGAAATGTTGGAGGCAATATCAGGGACGGTATCACTGGATTTTCAGGGTTTGTACTTTTCTTCATAAATTCTGATTCAACTATTGTATTGAAATGCTTTCATTTTAATTAAAATTTTTTTTTTTATTAAATTAACAACTTTTATTTTTAGGAGTGTGATGTCCAAACCTCGTGAATTTGCACATCTCATTAAAAATAAATTTGGCAGTGCTGACAATATTAATACTTTATCACGTGAGTGGTTTAAATTTTCATTATTATTATTATAAAACATTAACAATTTACAATATTTTTAAAAAACCTACGAAAAAGTAAAAGGAATGGGACTAAAAAATGATGAAATTTGTTTATTTTTTTTTTGTTTGGTTATTATTATTATTATTTAAAAATATTAAAACGATTTAAATGATCTTAAATTTCTCGCTGCCTTAACAGTTGACAGTAGTAAGTAATAAAAGATTAATAGTAGGTGCTTTCATCTTTTGTGTGATAAAATTTTTTTGTTTTCCTCACTGTAAGGCATTACTTCCACTATTAATCATTTTAAGCGTAATTATCAAAGAGGAAAAAAAAAGAATACACTTGCTTCTTTTCACGCTTGTTGCTTTCTCACTTCTTCTGTTGTGTTTTTTTTTCTTTTTTTTTATGTGGATGTGGGACAAACTTTCAAAAGGCTGCACTATCTTCACAATCTCTCTAAAGAGCACTTTCGCTTCTTGTGTGAACGCTCTTCTCTATCGTCCCAAAACTCTTGTTATCCAATACTGAAGAAAAAAAAAAAAGAAAATGTTGGCTTAAAAATTATACATCAGAGGGTTGTTCTGCTTCTTCTCTATCAAAAACCAAATCGAATGTTTCCAACGATCAAGAATCCTGCATCGCTAGGTTTTCTTTGTTCTCTCAAAAATCATTGTCTCTTAAATTCTTTCGCGGATTTAGTTTCTTTTAATATTTATGTAATTTTTGAACACTGCGTTTCGTTATTTTTTTTTTTGAATAAATTTCTGGAATTATTTATTATTTAATTTGATTTATCAATATTTTATTTTGTAAGATAAAAAATTAAAATAAGGGAGAGAAATAGTTTATTAAAAAATTGAAAAGTAAGTGATTAATTTAAAAAATCAATTGAAAATTTTATCGAAGGGTGAAAAAAACGAAACGCAGGTGCTTTTTATAATTAAATTGAAATTTTTCCTAAAGCCTGTCTCTCTGGGTATTGGATAACGGTCTAACTGGCCACCTCTGTGTCCCCCACAGATGGCTCGACATTTTATGTAAACGATACACCACATGCAGGTAATGGTGATAATGCTAGCGTCGAAGAGGAAAAGACTCATCATGGTTCAGCAACACTACCTGGTGGATGTAGTTTAGGATCAACGCACAGTGCGGCAGCTATGAAATTTCCATCCGAGGAAGGATCCGAATGTTCCAGTGTCACAAGCGAAAGTGGTCCCGGAAGTCGAGGACAAGCACACACCTGTCACGGTCACAGGGATACATTTAGTCTTAAATCAATATTCTCTGAACTTCAAGAGCATAGAGAGAATTTCGATCGAATGCGAGAAAAATTAGAAAGTCTCAAGGTTTGTCAAGTGAATTTTTTTTTTAATCTCCATAAAGGACAATTTGATTTTTAATTAAAATTTTTCTATTTAGACACTTCAACAAGAGGTGACGTATCTTTCGCACGCGGTACAAGAGGAACGTTTCCGTTGTGAACGATTGGAGGAGCAAATAAATGACTTGACCGAACTCCATCAAAATGAAGTCGAAAATCTCAAGCAAATAATAACTGATATGGAAGAAAAAGTTCAATATCAAAGTGAAGATCGTTTACGTGATATTCATGAAATGTTGGAAAGTTGTCAGACAAAAATTTGGAAAATGGAACATCAACAACAACAACATCAACAATATGTGACACTTGAAGGTTTAGATAACAGTAATGCGAGAGCATTAGTTGTTAAATTAATAAATGTTGTCCTTATAGTTTTGCAAGTAATTCTTTTACTTGTTGCAACTGGTGCTGGTATAATGATGCCTTTCCTTCGAACGAGGTATTTTTTTCCACTATTTTAAATATACTAATATTTAAAATACAAATAATAATATTTAAAATGTTATAATAATTTCAATTTATTATTTAAATTATTATTTCTTTTTATTTAATAATACTGAATTTTAAGAAAACTAATCATTTTTTTTTTTAAATAGGATATTTGATTTAGGAAATTATTCATACTTCACGCATTCATCATCGAAAAAAAACCACATGCATGATTTCAAGCATTTTTTTTTTTTTTTTGATTTCTCATTCTCATTTTTTTCGTTTGTTTTTTTCACGTTTGTTTCAGCTGTACTAAGCCTCATTGTTTCATGTGCAGGGTGCGCATACTAACAACGACGTTTGTCGTCCTGGGGATTGTGTTCGTGCTCAAACAATGGCCTGAGGTACACGATGTTGGAAGTCACCTCATGCGTCATCTTAAACAAACTCTCGCCGTCAAGTAGCATTGTAAGTTTTTTTCTTGCCAAAACAAATATCTCTAAAAATCAAAATAATAAATTTTATATTATTCTTTCCAGGGTGGAATATTAAAAGCTAACTAATCCGCCCCTGGCGTAAAAACGAAGGATTCCGGCTTCATTTCATGGTATCATCGTCCAAATAAGTGCAGTATTGTTTTTTGTTGTTTTTTTTTCTTTTACACACATTCTCTCTTATCTGTCGTTAATAAGCTTTTTATACGGCCTGTTTTTTGAGAGAAATTCACCCTAAAGAAAATATAAAATTATTTGAAGCCAAAAAAGAGAAGTCACGATATAACAAAAAAAAAAAAAAAAGCAAACACGAAAAAATGCCAAACGCGAATGACCGTATCGGTTGCGTTAATTAGTTGTGACTAATATACATATATATATATAATGTTAATTTTTATTATTTGATTTTCGTGTACGCTCTCGTTATATAATAAGTGACTCTTTTTTTGTGAACTCAAAGCACAAAAAAAAAGTTTGAGCTGGAAAATAATGCAGGAAATTTTTGCTTAAAGAAACAAAAAAATAGAAAATGGGTAACGAAACGAAATTGTAAATGGTTTCATTGTTAAATTGCGTCCAAAAACACTATCCTCATTATTATTTTTGAGGATAAATGAAATGAATGCGAAAATCAGTGAACTGTGATTCTTGCAAAATGGATTGCTTTACAGGGTGTGTGCGTGATTGGACAAAAAAAAAACACAAGTTTAGGATTCTAAGTACGAGTGATAAAAAATGTACCTCGACTCCAATAAATAAGAACACATTAATGTGTCTGTGGAATGGTCGAAAATCGTCCAAAAACTCGGAAATAATCACATATTTCATCTTTTTTAATTAAATTAAAATTTTTATTAAAAAAAAAAATGGAAAGAAATATTATATCTGAATTTATAAATTCATAAATTCATAAACACTTTTAGCACCATGTAAAATAGTGTCAGTTAGTAATTTGATATTTTTTAATCGCATTATTATTGCAAAAGAATGTAAATAGTGTCATCGTCGTCCATATTCATAAAAAAAAAATATATACAATATAGCTGAGTGACACTATTTCATTACGGTCTAAAAGAATTGTTTCTTAAATTTATTCTCATTCACTGAAAAAATGGACCAAATTGATCGTTTTCTTTCTCTTTTTTTTAAAAAAAAGTAATTTTTTCTTGCCACCACAGACACAAAAACATATTTCCAAATAATACGAAAAGGATAAGTGAAACAAAAAAAATAGCCCATGACAAATAATCGCTATGAGAGAAAGACTGATGGTTTAACCGGTTACGATCTCTTTTCGATTCTTCGTAAAGCGCTCGAGAGGCAATTTTTTGCACAATGGTATATCGGTTATTTCAACAAAAAAAAAATAAATAAAAAAAAATATTACGGGCAAGGTTTGGTAGAAATTTTCACTAAGTGACTATTTGTTTGAAAGTTGGCCACCAACACCGATTGCAAACATTCCTATTTTAGTTTTTAGATATATCACGAGGCTCATATTCCAATATTATTATTCATTACTGTTAAGAAAAACAAATTTTAATTTCTTATCAAAATTTAAAATTAGAAAAAAAAGAAAGGCTGAAAAATTTAATTTTAAATTAGAATTCTAATCAGAGTTTCTTTTCAAATTGTAATCAGTGAATATTTTTTTGTTTAAGCTTGAATTGTAAATATTCATATACATATACATGTATATAATGAATATTTTCATGTTTATGTATAGAAGCACTCATTCCGTTTATCGCAAAATGTGCTTATGTTAAATGTTATGTATTCTTTTTTACAAATGCATAAATTGGGCATTAATCATGGTTGTTTATGAAAAAAAGAGAAAAATTGGCAGCATTGCAAGTAGTATCTATAAAGTATTTTAAAAGAATTTTAGCTTCGTAGAGTTCAAGTTACAAAGAAAAATTTTGTATCATCATTGACGGTGGTTGTGACCCTGGAAATAATTGTGAGGACTCAGACGTTAAACGACTCGAGTGAATAATGTGGATTTACTGTTTTTTTTTTTTACTTTTTTCCCCTTTACTTTGTAAAGACAAAAAAGAACGCCAAATTCATGTGTTCCTAATAATTTTAATTGCTCTCTCTCCCTATCTCTCTCTTTAAATTACAACTGTGACTGCAAAAATTTTATTAAATTTTGGCAGCAATAATCATTTTTCGGGAACAAAAATTTATTCTACACAAATTTTTCGAAAAAAAATATTTATAATTTTCTATCGAGCGTTGTACGCGAGAGTGGGGACTTTTCCCAAAAAAAAACAAAAATAATAATGAACGAACAAAATACACGTAGAATACACAAAAAAAATCGCTTGATTGGATTTTAAAAACAATTTTAGATTTTTGCAATTGATTCAAAACCACTGTAATATTGAATTCGTAGCTGCAATTGCAACGCGCGTATAGAATGTAGATTTAAATTGTAAATTACACCCACATTGACGACAAGTACCAATAAATTCACTTCGAGAACAACGTTTAATAATTTCAAAATATTTTTCATTGTTACCATTTGTTTTTTAACTAATTGACGATGAATATTTAATCATTTTTTTATCGTCACTAAGAATTTATAAATGTATTTTTAAAAATTTTAACGATGTTTCTCGATTTTTTAAAATTTAATTTTGTACAAAAACTGTCGCGATACATTTTAATCGGAATGAACGAAACATGAACGAATGTTTTTTTAATTAAAATTTTTATATATATTTTTTACACTATTTTAATTTTACCATTTTATACAAAAACTTTTGATGTTTATGTATAAAAACATATTTAAAAAAAAGAAAATAGTACCAAAAGTGAAATTTTTTTCCAATCAATATAAAATAAAAGAACAAAAAATATTTAGAAAATAATAAATATAATATTAGAACTATAAAATAGTAAATTTAAAAAATAAAAATAAAATGATTGTGAAAATGAAATAAATTTTATTTCAAATTATTGCAAAATAAAAAAAATCTGTTCGCGTGCCTAAAAATAAAAACAGATCGAAGTTATAGTTAATGAGTAAGACAAATTATGGGTTTAAAAAAAAAAAAAAAAAAAAAACTAATCAACGATTTGTGGTAAATAAAACTCATAGAGGAAACTTGTCGTCAATCGTTAGGCATCACCCCAGTAGTGAGAGAAAAAAAATCACTAACAGTCATTAAACATGACAAGTTAAACGTATCGAAAGCTTGAATGCCACACTACGTAGTTGTTAAATTCAAAGTTGATGATAAATCTATATTAATATGTATGTTAATGTGAGAAATAATGTCAAACACGACTTATACTTATCTCAATTAAAGTGTAACGCACTACATGTTACTTTTTTTTTTCTTAAATCATCTAAAAGTAGTCGAAAATTCATACCACTCACGTTACTATTATACAAATGTCACAAAAAAATAAAAGAAGATTTTTAATAAGAGGCTGCTTTATTGTTGTTTACTGCGAAGTTATAAATATATATATATATATAAATATATTATATATTATTTTGAAAATTAATTATAATTTATTTACTTTTAAATTTTGAACTGGAACAAAATTATATTACAAATTGAAATTAAAATGACTCGTTATTTTTTTACCCCAAATATAAAATTTTTTTTCAGAAAATCACCAAAATATCTACATAAAAATATAAATTATTTTCAATATTTTTTACTAGGAAATATTTTTATTTGTCTTTACTTTCAATACATAAATGAGAAATGATAGCGATATGTTGATATATGTATTGAATAAATATTCGCAAAAAAATATCCTACATATACCAAAAAAAAAAAGACGTAAAATACAATTTGTGCCAAGTAATTTTTTTTTCTAAACTTACATTTAAACTTTACTATTTACAAATCTCTTCCAGTCAACAATCAATATTCGCAAAGCACATTGTGGCACTTAATTAATTATTGAATTCTCACATTCAATATAAACTCACTTGACCTATATATACCATTTATCTAAAAATTGAAAACGAAAAATCTATTCATTTGTAATAATATTTTTCGAAATTTAAAATCGAATTTTTGCAAATAATCCGAAAAATGTTTACATTTTAATAATTACGAAACTAAATAAAAAATTTTTCAGTTTCAAAAATTAAATACCGGAAAAAAAATTATATTTGGATATTTCGTACAAAAATGTATTTAAAATCTAATTTTTTTTTTGTTTGTTTTAATGGTACATTTCACTAAAGTGAGTATACTTAATAATGAAATTGTGCTATTTCAATTTTAGAAAAGCTTTTTTTAAAAAAAATTATTTAAATGAACAAATCTTAAATGGAAAAACTAATTATTAATTTGAAATAAATTCAAAAATTTTGTTACTTTGCTAAAATATGTTTCATATACATATACAATATATATACATTTTTGCAAAAATATTTTCCTAAATTACAATTAATGAAATATTTTTCAAAAATTTAACTAACGACTAGTATTTCGAAAAAATAGAAAAAAAAAATTGCCGCCGATTCATACTAATGTTGAACTAAAAAGCAATTTTATCAACATTATTTTTTTTTTATATAAATTGTTGACAATTTATGGAAGCATTCAATTAGCAGAAGCAACGGTTAACATTTTGATTATCTCTTTCATTATTATAATAAATGGTAAAAATTGTACAATATTTCGTTAACTTTCTAAAGACATTGATTTTCTAATTCTTCTTTTTTTTTTAAATTGGTCCATATTTCAATAAGCGGTATTTTCTTTCCGTGTATTGAATTTTTTGTTCATTGAGATGAAATATTCTTATTTTTGAAAAATATTTCCTAAGATATTTAAATGAAATTTTATTCTCCAAATATGTGCGTTACATCTCCTTTTGTTTCAGAATTAGTGCCATCCTTCAATTTACCATCAGTTAAATCATCTTTGTTACATCAGCATGATGCTTTTTTCTATGACACATCATTGTCGATCTCGATACAAATGCTTTTCGACATACATCACATTCATATGGTCTTTCACCAGTATGTAAACGTTTATGAATTGCCATTGGACTAAATTGTGTAAATGTTTTTCCACAAACATCACATCTATATGGACGTTCACCGGTATGTGATCGTCGATGACATCTAAGGGCAGCGCGTCTCGCGAATACTTTTCCACAAACATCACATTTAAAACTTTTCTCACCCGTGTGCATTGTGGAGTGAATTTTTAAATCGACACGCGTTAAAAAACCCTTACCGCAAACCTCACATAAATATGGTTTCTCACCAGTGTGAATTCGAAGATGTGTATTCAAATAGCTTTTGCTAACAAACATTTTATTACAAACAACACATGGATATTGTCGATTATCCATTCCCGAGTGGATTTTCTGATGACTTTTGCAAAGACCTTTGGTGATAAATCCACGTCCACAAACTTCGCACATATAGGGCTTCACGCCTAGATGACGATTTTGATGATCGAGAAGTGATTGTTTTGTTTTGAAATTTTGACCACAAGTTTCGCATGGATATGGTTTTAAATCTGAGTGTACCTGGAAAAAAATTTCATTTACAACACTATAATTAAGGAATAATCAAAAAATTAAATATTTTCTCACCCTTTGATGAACGATAAGATAACTTTTGCATTGAAATCCCTTTCCACATGTCGAACAATTATAATCAAATTGTCCCGTATGTGTTGCAAAATGTTGTGCTAATCCAATTTTACTTCGAAATGCTTTTTCGCACATTGAACATTGAAATGGTTTTTCGCCAGTATGTTTACGCATATGCTCCTGTAATTTATAATTTGTTCTATATTGTTTACCACATTGTGTACAAATTTTTGGTGTCCATTTTTGTCGAACAGACGATTGTTTTTTCTGTTCATCTTGGGGTTCGTTTAATTTTTCATTAGGTGTATCAATTTTATTTGCAACAATATCCTCATCCGTTGAATTGATTTTATTTTCACAATTTTGTTTATGCAATGTCAATACCTCAACACTTGTAAAATAAACACCACATGAACAATTACAAAAATGTTGTTCAAAATGTGGAATTAAATTATTTGGATCCGAGGCAGCTTCATTGCAAAATGGACAAACATACCAATTGGCACCACTTGCGTCAATTGTCGGATTCTCAAGAATCGAATCAAATAATTCTTTTTTTCCCTGTTTTGTATATCCAATAAGTACACAATTGTCAGAATTTACTTGACTTGTCGATGGAATTTCAGTTACTGGAGATGATTCATTTTGAATATTAAATGTTTCTTTTGTTGTTTTGTGCGAAAAATCATCGTTTCTCACCTGAAAACAAAATTTGGAAATATATTAAATAAAAAAAAAAAATCTTCTAAATTTTATATTTGAAGGAATAACTCACATTGTTTTCAATAACACGAGTCGCAGACTCCGCATTAAGACTCTCCTGCAGCCTTCGAAATTCATCTTTTACAGTAATATCTTCATACTTGACACTTTCGCAATAGTGAACAATTTGTTCTTGACTCGCATTGGAATTGATTGTCGTGACATAATTAATTTCAAGTGGATCCAAATCTCCCTCGACAGTTAAATTTTCCACTACTGTCATGTCACCTTCCAAATGCATTGCAATTTGATGATTGGAAACCTAAAATATTAATAAAACATTTTACAAAAATTAAATATAATAATTAAAATTTTAGCATATTATGAAAAATATATTTACTTCACGAATATGTTCATCGACCATTCGAACTGTTTCACCATCGAGACAATGAATATCAGTAACTTCAAGATCATCATCTTGATGATTAATTTCTTCTTGTGTTACAACTTGTTCACCACCGGCTAAATCCATATCATCCATTATTTGCATTGTATGAATTTCATCCGTATGTTGATTTGCAGTTGCATGATTTTGTATTTCTTCAATGTTTGATTGAATTTCAATATTTAAATGATGTTCAATATTAACATTTTCTTCTTTTGTGATTTCTTTCAACATTCCCATAAACATTTCCTCAGTATTGAGACACTTTTCACGAAAATCAAATAATTCATCCAATTTAAATGCACATTCACCGCAAACAACTTTTGGTAATTGATCACTCATTGATACCTGCATTAAAAAAAAAATGGAAAATTATTTTCGATTTAAATTATTTTGATTAAAAATTTATTAAATTATATATTTTACTATGGAATAGAAGTTAAACAGATTATGTATTGAAATTATTAATTTTTTTTTTTTGTATCAGTAAAGTTATTTACGAGCCAAGCCTTTTTTTTATATTTACATATTCAATTGCTTTCATATTTAAATCCAACACCGCTCCTTATAACTCAATGAAAATAAAAACTAATGAACATTATTTCTAATTAAAAAAAAACTTTTTGTTTTAAAAATCGTTATGTACAATTTTTGAAATTAACTCCTATAATCATTTTTTGTAGTACTAATTTACATTAGAAAATCAAATTTAAGTCAATTAAATTTAATTAACTGAATACAAAGATCGAATAAAACTAATTTTATCATAAAGTGTAGGTCTGTAATTCAAGAGAAAAAAAAACTATTAATAGTCAAAACCAAAGATATCAAATCATTTTAAAAATTTGGTTTTTTTCATTTCTCACCTGGAGAGACAAGCAAGCGGTAATTTTCTTGTCGATATTTCTTATCTGCTCATCGCTATTAAAAATCGGCAAACCCATGAGAATTCCCGTCTTCGCAGCACAGAGACGACACAGGTAATTGAACTCCTCGATGACGATGGACATTTTAATTAGTTTTTTTTTAAAAAAAACTTGATTGGCCTTTATCCAAAACACCCGGTTTAACTCCAGTACAATCTGTTTTCTTTTTTTTTTCTCTCTTTCTTTTTTTTAATAGCTTCTTTGTAACCACAGAAAAGGCCGACTTTTTTTGGAATTTAATGCATGCATCCCGACCTGCGGAAATTCCTATCAAAAAAATTTCAAAGCACTTTTTTGCACTTTTATCTTACACCACTTTTCTCAGATAACATTACCTGCGCTGATCTTTTGCCATAAGAGTCTGCTTCGTTTAAAATATATATATATATAAAGTCCTGCAAAAGAATTAAGATGATTTACGTCACAATGTCTGGATGTCTCACAAATAGAATTTATTGTATACGATTTATAACAAAAATTTATAGCATTCTAACCTCAAAGTTATATTAGAAATTAGTTTTTAACATTTACTTACGTAAATAATTTATTATCTTTTTAGATAATCACAAAGTATTATTAATGAATGACTATTTTAATTTATTATTATACTTTAAAAATTGATTTTAATATCAATTTTAACAATTAACAAGGGTACAAAGACCCAAAAATGTCAAACGTAGAAACCATTTTTAAAGCCGCAAGAATTTGAATTGATTTATATTGTTTGAAAATAGAATTTATAAAATAAAAATTTGTTTATGTGCTGAAAAAATTAAATTTTTGTCAGCTAGTTAAAAAATAATGCTTTTAAAATGTTATTAAACTTATTAATATGTTTTAAAATAAAAAAATGTACGGTATTTGTATTCCGAGGCTTATGATGGTACTTTTGTTCTGACATTTGATTGGCTTAAGAAAATCAAAGCCGCATGCTCAACCCTGCTTTGACAAGTAGACAGTAGGCAAGTTGGGTTATTTATGTCACTTTGATTTTATTTAAATATTAAAAATTTGTAAAGAAATATGGATAATGGAAAAAGAAAATTGGTTTCTCGAGCTAGTGATTCGGACGAGGAAAGCGATAGTAAGAATTACAATTTTTCCCATTATTTTACTATAATACGTCCTGTCTATAGGTTATGTTACTATTTACATTTATGTGAAATGTTTACAATTATTATTTTTAAATACAAAATTTACAATTTTAATAGTAGAATTTACATTTTTTTCAGAAAATAATTCATCAAAAATGAGACATGTTGATGCACCAAGACTTTGTCCCTATTTAGACACAATTAATCGACAATTTCTCGATTTTGATTTCGAAAAATTATGTTCAGTTTCTTTATCAAGAATAAATGTTTATGCATGTTTAGTATGTGGAAAATATTTTCAAGGAAGAGGTACAAATACACACGCCTATACCCATAGTGTTGCCGAGAGTCATCATGTTTTTCTTAATTTACATACACTTAAATTCTATTGTTTGCCAGACAATTATGAAATCGTTGGTGAGAAAATGAAATAAATAAAATAAAAAACTAATTTTGTAACGTAATTTTAAATAATTAAATTTTGTAATTTACAGATTCCTCATTAGATGACATTAAATATGTTCTAAATCCAACATTTGGCAAATCTCAAATTAGTCAATTAGGTACAAATGCTAAACTATCGAGAGCTATCGATGGATCCATGTATTCACCAGGAATTGTTGGTTTAAATAATATTAAAGCTAATGATTATTGTAATGTTATTTTACAGGTAAATTTATTATTCATTAATTCATAAAAACAAACTCTTTTTTTATATTAATATAATTTATTTTTTAAAAAAATTTTCAGGCATTATCACATGTAACACCTTTAAGAGATTTCTTTTTACGTGAATCAAATTACAATAAAGTTAAAAGACCGCCAGGTGATTCTTCTTATCTTTTAGTACAAAGATTCGGTGAACTTATGAGAAAATTGTGGAATCCTCGAAATTTTAAAACTCACGTCAGTCCCCATGAAATGTTACAGGCCGTTGTTTTATGGAGTAAAAAACGGTTTCAATTCACTGAACAAGGTAGGGAAAAAAAAACAAATATGAAAAATTAAAAGAAAAATTGTTTTTTATTATCTAATGACTTTTTTTTACAGGCGATCCGGTTGATTTTTTATCATGGTTTTTGAATGCGTTACATTTAGCGTTAAATGGAACAAAGAAGAATGATTCGAGTATAATTTATAAAACATTCTTAGGACATATGAGAATATATACGAGAAAAATTCCACCACTTGAACTTGAAGAGAGTCAACGAAGTGAATTATTAAGCACATTAGAATATAGAGAAACAATAACGGAAAGTCCCTTTCTTTATCTTACATGCGATTTACCACCACCGCCACTTTTTAAGGATCAATTCACAGAGAATATTATACCTCAGGTTTTTATTTTATAAACATATTAATTGAAATTTTTAATTACTTTTATACAAAATTTTAATTATTTAAAAATATTTTATTTTACAGGTGAATTTGTACACGCTATTGAATAAATTCAATGCAATTTCCGAAAAGGAATACAAAACATACAAGGAGAATTTTATGAAACGTTTCGAAATTACGGAATTGCCTCCTTATCTCATTTTGTATATTAAGGTTGTAAATTTGTTCTATAATATCAATTTTTTTTCAGTATTTATTTATTAATGAAGTCAAAAATTTTGATTACAGAGATTCACGAAAAATACTTTCTATGTGGAGAAAAATCCGACTATTGTCAACTTTCCTGTCAAGTAAGTTTTAAATGTTTCGAAGGAACTGTATAATGAATTTTTAAATATGAAAATAAGAAATTAATCGTAAATTTGAAATCCTTATAGGAACGTTGATTTTGGAGATGTTCTCACACCGGAAGTGAAAGCAAGACATCCTTATACAACATACGATTTAGTGGCGAATATTGTTCATGACGGTGAACCTGCACATGGAACTTATAGAGTTCATATTCTTCATAGGGCAACGGGCCAATGGTATGAGATGCAAGATTTACACGTAACGCAAATTCTTCCACAAATGATTACGCTCACAGAAGCTTACATACAGGTAAATAACAATTTTTAATTTTCATTTATAATTAATATATATTTAATGTTGATACAAATATTTTTTGCCTTTTTAGATATACGAACTAAGACAAGATAAACAATCAACAAATGGAGAAATGTCGTAGATATTTTTATTTTCAATTAAAAGGAAATTAATTCTACAGGACTGGAAAATTGAATGTTTCAGGTATTTTTCTTTTCTTTCATTTTACATTTCATTGTAAATAATGATTTTTAAAATTATCGACAGAATATGAAAAAAGAAGGAAATAAATAAATGGCCAAATATTTATAAGATTTTTGATAATAAATAATATGAAAATAATGTTTGTTATAATTTTTCCTAATATAAAATATTGTTATACTTTCTTTTTTTAAATTATAAAAAATTTCTATTAATGTTGTCCTTCCGGTTTTGTTCTGCGCATCGTTTTTACATTGATTTTTGATGCGCATAATCTCAACGGAAGGACAACATTTATGTTGCAATGCATGACTATTCTAAAGTATATCACTAAAGAGGTTATGTTTTAGGAAATTTTGATGGTCTTATAAAATAATACTCCAGAAGGAGTTATTAAAAAAAAATAATACAAAAGGATTTTAAAGAGTGTGATAAATAGTGACAAATTGTGAAATCATCAATAACTATACAAAATGGGCATTAGCAAAGTACGCAGTGCATTATTTTTTCTAATTATTTGGAGATTATGTTCAGTTTTCATTGTACAAACTTTTCATGTTCCTGACGAATATTGGCAATCTGTTGAAGTAGCTCATAAACTTACCTTTAATTATGGTTATCTAACATGGGAGTGGACTGCAAAAATTCGTAGCTACATTTATCCATTTTTAATATCAATTTTATATCACATTCTTCGTTTACTGCATATCGATCATGTGACTCTTTTGATTTATTTACCGAGAATTTTTCAAGCACTTCTCTCAGCTTATTCTGATTATAGATTTTACATTTGGTCCAAAAGTAAATGGAGTCTCTTTAGTCTTTCAATAAATTGGTATTGGTATTATTGTTCGTCTCGAACATTAATAAACAGTTTTGAAACATCATTAACAACTATTGCACTTTCAATTTTTCCATGGAGAAATCGAGAGAATAATTTCTTCTTTCTGTGGATTATTGGTTTTTTATTTACAATTAGACCTACTTCTGCAATTATTTGGCTTCCCTTGTGTATCTATCATTTTTGCACAAGATCTAAGGACATGTTTTTATTAATTAAAAATTATCTTCTAATTGGAATAACATGCCTTTCAATTTCCATTCTTATTGATTCTTTATGTTATGAAAAATTCGTGATAACATCTTGGGAATTTTTCAAAATTAACGTTATGAACAATATTTCAGAGTCTTATGGAATTGAAAATCCCTTTTGGTATTTTTTATCAGGCTTTCCAGTTATTTTGGGTATGGAATATTTCACATTTTTCCAATCAATTTTGCGAATTTTTCAACATTGGCGACAATTACATCAAGAGACAATTTTACTTATCACTATTTTTTGGACAATTTTTGTATACTCATGTCTTGCACATAAAGAATTTCGTTTTATTTTACCTCTTCTTCCAATGGTGATTTATATTAATAATTCAAGACAGTATGAGATAAAAAGAATTTCTGAATTTAAAAGGAAATTTTTTGTTGGTTTATTTATTTTGAGTAATTTAATTCCAGGCCTCTATTTCTCTCTGATTCATCAAAGAGGTTCATTGAATGCATTGCAATTTATTCGTAATGATTTGTCAAGTGAAAAAAATGATATTCTCTTTTTGACTCCATGTCATGCGACACCACTCTATAGTCATTTGCATAAAAATATTTCATTACGATTTTTAAAATGTGAACCAAATTTGGATAATAAAATTGGATATATTGAGGAAGCTCAACAATTTTTTGCTAATCCTCAACTTTGGATTGATGAAAATTATGGGGAAAAAATTGATCTTCCCACTTATATTGTTGTTTATGATAATTTTCAAGAGAGCCTCAAATCTTTTTTAACAAAATTTCAAGAAATTTACAGAACTTTTGATTGTCATTTTCCACAACCTAAATATGGAAATTATTTAATTGTTTATAAAAAAAATCATCCAGGTTGAGTTTATTAACTTTCTTATTGAGATGATTGAAGAAATTAAAGTCAAGTTTATTTTTCCAGGTACTATGGTGAAATTTTGTGTTTTTACAATTTTTTAAACATCAAATAATTAAAACATTTAAAAATTTTGTTGATAATTTGATGATTTTTAATTCATTTTTCAGGGACAAAACATTGATAGTATGGAGAATATTTGCGAATCTTTAGATAAATTAACATTGAAAAATCTCGAATTAATGGAAGAGAAAATTCGCACGAATATTGAAATGGAAACTATTTTACGAGAAGGACATATTGAATTAGCAAAAGCAAGATACATACGTGGAAAAGAAAGTATTGGATGTTTACAAATTCCATCAGAAGACGAAGAAATAACATCTCTTTTTCATCTTGAAACAATAAAATCAAATGAAACAGACGTTCCAGTGTTTGATATAAGTTTAAAGAAATCCGAAAAAGATATTCCAAATCCAATAAGAAGATTTGGAGTTCTTGTTCCTCAAAATTTGAAAAATGCTCAAAAACGATTTCAAGAATCTTTATATATTACAGCTAAGATTGCAAACGTTTCTGCTCAACTTCTTAATATTCAAAATGAATTTCAATCTTTGATGAGAGTGAAAAAAAAAATTTCAACAAACGATGATGGAAATAATAAAAAATTATAATGACAATTATTTTCTTATTCGTTAGAATAATTAATGTAAAATTTAAAATACAAATTTTAGACAAATTCTTTTTGTTAAAAAGAATTAATATTTCATATGTAATAAACAAATTTTAATTAATTGTTAGAATTATAAATATTTCGTTTACAAATATTTTAATGAAATTTGATTAAATAAAATTTATAAATTTGAAAATTTTCTTTTTTATTGTTAATTTAAAAAAAAAATGGTTTAAAAAAAAAGAAAATACAATTTGAATATAACGGAAGTAGACATTTGTAAACAGGATGTCACTACTTGCTGACTTCTGATTGGCTCTTGAATCGGGTCCAATTCCCGGTTAAAGTCGTGTAACTTCGCGAGTCGATATTCAGTCGATATCAACTGCATCGCATCGTTTCCCAAGTCGTTCTTTTCAAAACGAGAATTTTCGATAATATATAAATTTTACGAACAAAAACAAGTCCACGGCAAATAGAGTGTTGATTATTTTCCCGCTAAATTTCTCAAATTCATAATTTGAATGATAAAGACGTGAAAATTGCACACAAATTAGAAGAATGCAATAGTGATATTAATTTAAACACGTGTAATAAGTTTCGTCCATTTTGTAAAAATGGAAAAGTCTTAAAAGTTGTTTTCCCACGTTTTTTTTTTGAAGTGATGCTTATTTAAAAAAAAAAAAAAAAACAATGTCGTTAAAAATACAACCGGTGCCTCTTTTGAATCCAGAATTCTTTGAAGAAGATACAACTGGAGCAAATGTATCAGTTTCAAATCTTGTAGAGGAAAAACATGTATATACATATAAGAAACTCGTGGTGCCAATGTCCATGCGGAGCATTTATTGGAAATATTTTGGATTTCCAGCTACAGACGATGGTAGCATACTCACCAAAGTTAAAATTGTTTGTATTTTATGCAAAACACAAATTGCATATAATCGCAATACCAGTAATCTTAGGTATTTTAATTTTAATTATTTAAATTTTTTTAAAAATTATTTAAAACTTCTTTTATTTTTCTTTGTTAAAATTTAAAAAATTAATTTAAATTTCAGAATGCATTTGCAAAATAAACACTCACAGGAACTTTTGGAATTGGAAACGGCAAATCCACCACGAAAACCAATTATTTCCCAAGAGGCAAAAGAACGAAGAGCACAAAAAAGACTTTTGAAAGCTGGTTTAGCCGCTGCTCAACATATATACACGACAAATACCGATGGTACGATACAAATTGATGGAGGAATTCAATTTATCACCGATCCAAATATTAGTTTAACGAATATGGAAGATGATATTAATATATCATCGCCAGTACGAGTGATGATTAAAAATCAAAATAATCAAATTAATCCAAATGTATCATTTCTCATGTCAGAGGATAATAACGTTCAACCATGTAATAATGAATCAAAAACTGCAATTCTTGATGCAATTGCAGAATTAGTTATCGTTGATCTTCAACTGCCGGAAATAGTTGAGGGTCGTGGATTTCAAAAATTGGTCGCCACACTAAAGTCACCTTGTGAAATTCCTAGTAAAAGTAAATTGGAAGATGATATATTGCCAAAGATTTATGAAAATTATAAAGATTCAATTTTACATAATTTATCGTGTTTAAATGCAGAAATTGGTCTTGCAATTGAAGAATGGAAATCAAATGCAAAAGAAACGTTTGTAACATTTTCAATTTATTATCAACATCCTGGTGAAACAACATTGGATTATAAAGTACTTTGTACATTACATGCACCTGAGGATTGGGAGGAAGTTCAATGGGGAATTGTTATTGATGCAATTTTAACCGAATGGGAATTGAGAATTGAGAAAATAACCGCAACAGTGATTGCACTATCAATACCGGGATTAATTGCCGCATTAACAAATCGTGGCTTAACTTTGATACCATGTCTCCTTTATACTTTACAAGTATGTGCCTTGGCATGCTTTCAGGATGCTGATGTCTCTTCTGTTTTATCCAAATGTCGAGCAATAATTGGAGTCATTCTTGGACATAATGGAGCTTCTGCCACTCTTGCAATGCAAGATCAATTGTTGGAGGTAAATAGTGCATTTTTTTTTTTTTTTTTCATTAAATACAGAATTATTAATAGAAATTTCTTATTACAGTTGGAGGAGAATTCCTTGGTTATGGATTATCCATCGGTATGGATATCAACTTATAATATGTTGGAACAATTGGTACTTCGTCGAAGTGTACTAAGTAATATTCTCGATGCTGTTGAAAGAGCTGATCATGATACAATTGATCTTAGTCAAGATGATTGGAAAGTAATTGAGGACCTCGTCACCGTTCTTGAGCCATTTAAGGTCACGATCATGACTGTTAGCGAGGAAAAAATTCCCCTTATTTCTCTATTAAAGCCATTACTATGGCAATTGGTTTCCTCACATTTGAAATCAAAAGATTCGGATAGTAATACTATTAGAAATTTTAAGGAAAATTTATCAGACATGTTGTGTGAACGTTATGCTGATAGTGGTGTTACGTTACTATTACAAATTGCCACAACACTTGATCCAAGGTGAGTTACTGTTTTTTTTTTTATTGCCTTTTTCAAATTTTATTCATTTTATTCAACTTGCGTTTATGCTTTAGATTTAAACAACTTCCCTATGCAACGGACGAAGACAAAACTCTTGTTTCGGCACCAATCAAGGATATGTTGACTAAATTAATTGAAGAGGAAGGCGGAAATCGAATCATGGAAACTGATGATATTCCCGAAAAGAAGAGACGAATAAGTAGTGAGAGAATAATTTATTCCTGTCAATCATTATTAAGGAAGAGAAATTTAAATAACAATTTTTTTTTTTTTTTACAGGAATGGAACAATTGTTGGGTGATCAATTTTGCAATTCAAAAAATTTGATGCCATCAGAAGAAAAAGCTGATTTGGAATTAGTACAATATCAATCGGAAGCAACGGCTGCATTGGATCATTGTCCATTACAATGGTGGGCGAATAATGTGGCGAAATGTCCTCATTTATCGAAACTTGCACAAAAATATAATTGCGTGCCAGCATGTTGTCCACCACCATCACGAATTTCAGCTGAAGCTCAAGTTCTCTATGACACAAAACGTGCAGCTCTACCATCATATTTAGTTGATAAATTACTTTTTTTGCATGGTAACTATAATGTTTCTGAATAATGTAAATTTAAAGTTAACTTTGTACATTATATTTTAGATTATAAAATTAAAATATTTAAACATTTTTAAGACATCTAAGCAATAATTCCAATTGCTTTTAAATTGTTTTATTTTATTTATAATATGTAAAAAATAAATAACGAATATTTATTTTTTAATAAAGTCAATTATTCCAATTATCATTGGAGAAAAATAATTTATTGGGACAATTTTTTTTTTTAAGATTACAATAAGTTTTTCAATTTAATGAAAAAAATTAGATATGAGTAATTATCATCAAGCTCGAACACATTTTTCACGTTTTGTTCGTCTATCTAATTCACATTTTTCACCTTTTTGACATCTTACACCTGCGCAATATTTAACGTCATCTAAAAAATATAATTTAAATAATATTAAATTATATAAAATTATCACAAATCGAACTTTGCAGGAAAAAAAAGTAGTGACCTATTATTATTGTTAAAAGTTATTAATTTAGTGACAAATATTTATACCGTAAGATGATTTGTAGCCTCCATCTGAGCCAGTTGAAATAGCTGAAGCAATAACACAAGAAGTATCGCCACATATATTTGGACAACATTTTTCACCGAAACTACATTGAGAATCACTTCTACAAGAAGGATTGCATTTTTTCACGCTATTTCTGTAAGGACAATAACCCTCCTTGTCTAAAAAGGAAAAATTACTTTTTAAAAGAATTAAATTGTATTTTTTTTTTTACTCAAATTTATATTCCAGTGCAAATTTATTTACGAATTTCAATTAAAATATCAATTTTTGTTATTTAATAGGACACATTGTTTGCATTTGAATTAATAGACCTTGACCTTGTCAATAGCTTGTTACAATAATTTTCAATGTGCGTAGGTGTAAAAGAGTGAAATCTTTAAAGTTTCATTTAACCAACAGTTATGACTCATTGATGAATAACAAAAAGAGCATACAATATATATGCGTATTATAAATTATAACATTCACTTGAAGACGTTTTTAATTAAAAAAAAATTAAATTTCAATTTCATTTAAAAAAAACTTTTTTTATACTCACTTGTTAGAAAAGATTCAGATGCACCAATCACTAAAAAAAGTGCTAATAAAATTGATATCTTTCCTGAAAAAAAAAATAAAATTGACATTTTTTTAATTTAATTAATTAAAATTGATAATAAATATTAATAATTAAGTTAATTATTGATACAACTTTTTATTAAAATCATTATTGAAGCTATTAAATAGCATTGCATGAAATTTTTTTTTTTAATTCTATACGTACTTATTATATAGTAATCGTCTAAACTTCAATTTTCTTCGTAAATTATTCATCAAACAAATCAAATGTGTTTTTCTGTTTTGAAAAATAACTTTTTTATCTTAATTACATTTCTTAATTACATACTGTTAAAGAATACATATTATTCTTTTCATAAAAACAATTTTTCATTCATAAAAGTTATTTCCGCGTAAGAAAACAATTAATCACAAGAAGCATTTTTGTAAAAATATTTTTTCTTATTAAATAAGAATAATTTTTTATTCTCGTACATTTTAAAATAAAAAATTACATATTTAACATAAACTTAATAATGGATATTATTATGTTTATAGAATATAATTAATAATTTTAATTTTAAATAGTTAATAATTTTTTTTTTGTATTAAAATAATAACATACCTGTCATGACGTTGATGTTGACTAATTATAAACAGAAGAAAGTAATTTTTTAATTAAAAAATAATGATAAAATTTTAATATTAATTAATTTTAATAATTATATTATTTTATTAAAACTTTAATAATATTAATATTGTTAATAAAATTATATTATTTATACTTGTTACCACAGCTAAGAAAAGTTAGTTGTTACCAGAAGTGAATTGCAAGCACTGAGTTTGGTACCAAGAAGAATCGTCAGCGAAAGAATTTTATGACGCTTTTAATCCCCACCTTTTAGTTTTTTTTCTACTTCTCTACAGTCTACACTATCTGATATTTACGTATTTTTAATATTTAAAAATATTTCCTTTTTTATAATATAATCTTTATGTGTTTATATTTATTATATTTATACATAATAATTATTTTATTATTATTTATTTGTATAAAATAAAATGAAACATTTTTTTTTGTATGAAAAATTTCATTACAATTTTTTGTACATATAAAACGCAATCGAAGTAAATAAAGAAAATCGTTTCTTCTATAAAAGAATAAAAAATTTTTACGGAGACGAATTTTTTTTAATTAACAATATGACATAACATCTCAGTCTTAAATTAAAACTAATTAAATAAAAATAAATAAAAATTATAAAGTTATTAATCACATATCCATAATATAATTACAAATCACTATATTAATTAATATTATAATGTAAGTGAAAATGAAAATTGAATTTCAAAAATATTTGAAAATTATTAATTATTGCTATTGTCAGAAGCAACAAAATGAAAAAGAAAAATATATGATGAAACATTATTAAAATTAAACTTGTGAAACATTTCTTTACAAATTTTGAAATAGAAAAAAAAAATTTATTTAACGAGATCGACCAAATAAAAATGGATTATTTCGATTGGCGCGAAATGCAATGTCAAAATTATTATTGTTATTATTGTTATTATTGTCAAATGGTATGCTATTTGAATAAACATCGATGTCATTCGTATGAATTTTTTCCTCTTCTGTTATTTGTGGTTTTTTACAAATATTACCACCGCAACGAGTTTTACAACATTTCTTATTTTCTGGACAATCGCTATCATCAATGCACGTTGATGAACATATCCAACGCTCGTTTGATGAAGTTGGACAAACACCTGATTTTATTGTACCTGAAAATGAGTTTATTTTTTAAATTTAATATATTCCTTATATAAATTTTCTTATTTATTGTATAAAACGTATAATTTTTTTTAAATTTTCATTTCCTATTGAAGTACGACTCATAAAATACATATGTAAATTATTTCAAATTATTATTTGAACAGAAGAATATAAAATACAATATAAATATAAAAATTTATCATAAAGTCAAATATTTTCTCAGATATGAATTTTTTTCAAAGGGAATAATTTATATAAGTAGTGTACTAATTAGAAAATTGTTTCTTAATATATATTACTCATAAACTCTAATTTATATACTTGTAATTATAATGTAATTAGATAATATTAATTGCTTTCATTTTAATTCGCAATTATTTTTTAATTTAATTGAATTTAATTATTTAATTATATATTCTATAAAAATGAATTATTATTGAAATTACCAGTAATTAAATTTGAAAAAAATGAGTATTAAAAATTTTTTACCAATTGTTGATGGATTTCTTGTTGTCACCGGTCTAGAACAAACAGATCCTCCACAACTTGTGGGACAACATTTTTCAATTCCTAAACATTGATTGTCCCAATAGCAACTTCTTGAACAAACATTAACCGCCAATGGTGGAGCACAAGATCCAATTTTTGGTCGGGGATTATAACTTCCATACATTTGAGCATAAGTCACGGTTAAAATCACCGTCAAAATTGAAAATAAAATCTGTGACGTCATTGATGTTCCTTAGACAATTTTTAATATCGAAATACGTCTACCTGAAATTCTTTGAAGAAGATCTCTTGTCAAGGATTAAGATTGTATTCAAGAAATTACTATTGCATGTAAATTTAGTACTTCATGAATATTTAATGCATGAATAGTTCAAGAGGAAAAAAATCTGTTCTATTAAAAAAAAAAAAATGGAAATTCCCAATACGGTCAATGATTTTTCTTAAAATATTAAATTATTGTATAATAAATTATAATTAGTTATGTATTTATATAAAAAATATTTTTTTATAATTATCTATTAGAATATAAATAAGAAAAATTAAAAATTTTTAATAAATGTTTCTAATTTTAATTTAAAAATCTTTTATTTTTTTAATTATTTATTATTATTATCGTTATTAATAAAATAAATTTTATTTGTTCTTGAAAAAAATGGAGAATTTAAGAAGGAAGTATTTGAATTTTTTTTTTTTTGAATTATGTGAAAATTGATGATATATATTTATATAAAATAAACAAAAAAAAAATACTCACATGTAAAAATTAAATACGTCATAAAACAATAACAACAGAACTGGATAAGTGACAAATGCTTTTTGCATGAGGCCAGAAACATTCACTTCTATTTATGTGCCCCCCTCCTTCTGACAAAAAAGTCCTCGTGTCGATCAATTTATAGAGAACTTAAATTAATTCGTGATGGACATCCTTCAAGTATAAATTTATGACAAACTATTAAGAAATTGACGAAAAAAAATGTTGATTTTATTTAAATTTTTTAATTTATTTTCATATTTTTCTTAATAAAAGAGAAAGTATTTATTTAATTTTTACTAATTTAATTTTATTTAATATCACTTCCTTTATTATTATTATGCTTATTATTTACTTTAAATTATTTATTTATAGAACTTTATTTTTCATTTATTTGTCATTTAACATTGAATAGTTTCATATTAATTGTTCTTCAAATTTTGAGATTAATTCATAAATTTTTTCAGTCCTAAAAATAATATTAGTAGTTATTTGCTCATTTTTTAAATAAAAATTATAATTATTACTCAAATCATGTGCGAATTAATTAGTTAACGATATTCGCGTTGGCGTCGGAAGGAAGTGGTTTTAGTGAGAACTTCCTTTGCCTTGAAAAAAAATTTTGCGATAAAAGAAAAATAATTCGTTTATTTATTTTTTTTTTATTCTAAATTTGAATTTTTTTTATATAGTAAAAAATCACATTTTGAATTCACATTTTAAACAATTAATTTTATTATGCATAAATAATTGTAATCAATGGTATTCTTTTATACATAAAACATTGAAAATTGTAAAATATTTAAACGTAAATTTAAAATAAAAATAATAATGTGAACGGTAATCGGTACATCAAGTCAATATATAATTTATAATACACTAGTATATATATAATCAAATACAACGAAGATAGTTTTATAATATTAATTTTAAAAATTTAAATAATTCATAACAATTTGAAAAATTAAATAAAATTGTTTAATTAATCGCAATATAACTATGAAAAATGATAGATTACATATATTATATAAAAAATAATTTGTTAAACACATGAAATAATAAAAGTAAAATATTAGGGCTAATTCGAAAATTAAAGAATCTATACATTACAAAATCTATTAACATTTTTATTCATTTTAATAGATACAATAATTGTTACGTATGATTGAAGGCTACCGTTTGACGTAAAACAAGTTCAAAATAATTCCACAGAGAAATAAAAGCGAGTAAAATAATAATTTCTATTTACTTTTTACAGTCTTGATTCTTTTGTTTTTGTCAAAAATATTTTATTACATTAAATTAAAAATTAATAATAATACGTAAAATTAATATATGTATGTATAATAAAAAATAGTATAAGAAAATAAAAAGAAAGGAAAAAATATAATACAAATTTTTGGCAGAATTGCCAAAATACTTAAAAAGTTTGATTTGGTGCTCGCTAGCTTTGTATATATTTTTTGAACTGACGTTCAAATTTAATTTCTTAAAAAAAATACGATCATTTATTATTATTCTTTACATCTAACATAAATACTGTAAGAAATTAAAAAAACACGATAAAATTTTTCACATAATTTATAAATAATAAAATATAAAAAATACACGATATTTTTAAAACATAATTTTTAATTGCAATTAAATTTATTTTTTTCATAATTATTATTTTTATTTATTTATTTAATAATAATTATAGCGCGACTTAAATAAATGATCGTATTTTAAACAAAATAAGCATTAATATAGATGGCACAAAGTATATAAACCACATAAAATTCTTCAATACTAATAACAAAATTGTTATTAATTAATTAAATACCTATACAGTATATAAATTTATATATGTAAACAAATTATTTTGCATTAAGAAATTAAATATTAGGGGGGGGGGAACTTATAAATATTATATAATTCAAGGACGGTTTCCATTATTTACTGCAAGAAACATGTATATTTCACGTTTTTTCCAATCAATGATAGACAGTAATTAAATTTTTTTTTCTGAATTATGCCATTTTTGAAAATAGTGTCATAAATTTGTTAAGCGGAATTTCTTTTTTATTATAAATATAATATAAATATTAAGCGTGATGTGAATAATAAAAAATAACTTATAATCTGCTCAATATAATTTAAATTATTTTTTTTAAGTGTTTTATATTTTTTTGCATTATTTACATATAAGGCCTCTTGAATTTTTAGAATTGAAGTTCCAATCTTGTTATTTTTTCACTGGAGTAACTGTAATAAAAATTATTATTTTTAAAAAATTTCAATTTTCGGAAAAAAAAGATTTGTTTTTGAAATTAAATTATATATAATGCTTACATCTTGGAGGAACAGGTGGAGCTATTTTTTTCTGTACAACTCCAACAATTTGAACACCTTCATTCGATGGTCGAATATTCATATAATCATGAACATCCGTATTTGTAATTCCATCAACAATATCTTGAGAAATTTCTTCTAATTTTTGTTCATTAGACTCATTGTGTTTTATTGTATTTTCTCTATGTCTCATAATGAGATCGGTTTCCATATCTTTTTCAATATTTGACGTTTCCTCAATTTTCAATATACTTTCATCATTTTCAATTTTCGAAACTTCTTTGAGTGTGAAATTATTTTCATTTAAAATTTCCATTTTATTTTTATTTATTTCCTGATCAATTATTGATGAAAGATCCATTGCGAGTTTAATATCGATTTTTGTTTCTAAAGTTGCATTTGGAGTTGAAACTTTTTTTGTTGGTACAATATTCATGTACTCAAAGGGAATGCACATACCAGGTGGAGGTGGTGGAGGAGGAAGTGGTGCTGTTATCGAACAAGATGGATTTAAATTTGTGTAACTGTGTGATTTTTTTGATTCATCTAAATCGAGATAGTCTGAATCTTCAATTGGTGAACATGGCGTTTTTTGCTCTCTTAATGATCCATCTGCTTTGAAAGCTAAAAATATTTTTTTTTATTTTGAATATTTTCTTTTTTAGTTTGCAGAAGAGCAAAAAAAATCTAGATTAAATTTTTGCTTCGATATTAAGAAAATATTTATTTGATACTCACAGTGAACTGGTAAACCGGAAGGTGGAAAAGCAATATAATGTTCATTACTTTGAGGACTTCGAAATTCAACTTCATTGTTGATTGGAGCACGAGGTGAAGGTGTATAACGAGCAGGTGAATATCTTCCAGTAAATGGTTTTGGTGCTGGTGGAATTTCATATGATGTCATTCCCGATTTATCCTCTCTCGAATTTTGTATCTGAAATAAAAATTTATTATTTAAAATTTCCAGAATAGAAAATTATGAATAAAAAATTATTAATTTTATTTACCCTTCTGTCCTCAGTGTCAGAATGAGTTCCACTATCTCCAAGACTCGTTCCACTACAACCACTGACTGTACTCATTCGACCAGAAGACGAGGAACCTACGAATTGAAATTATTATTTAATCAGTGGAAAATTATTATAATAATTAAATTCATTGAAAATTAATTGAAAGAATGAGAAACTCACTTGAAACACTATGAAGACTCAAACTGCTAACCGGTCTTCGATCAGCGAGTGTTCCATTGATATTTTCGCTTTTACTCGTCGATGATGAATCATCATTTGCATGCGAAGAATCTTTCAAGGAATCTGCGAATTTTATTTAACAAAATTTAATTTTACAATTACTAATTAAACAAATTTCTTTGAATGTTAAAAAAAAGAGTTTCAAACCTTTCTTTCCTTTTGAGAATAATTTACGTATTCGATCAAATGGTGTGGGTGCTTTCATGTCATCTTTTATTTTCTTTTGAATTCTCTCGTATTCCTCTCTCATTGCTGTTAATTGTCGTTGTTTATCCTTAAAACTTTGTTGTACATCATTTCGATTTTTCCAATTATCAACAAGTCTCTCAAGTTCCGATATTGTAAAGACATTATTTTTAAAATCATTTAAAATTTCCAAAAGCTCATCCTGTGGTCCTGAATTTTCACGGGATTTCGAACTAGATGATGATTTATCGTAATGAAATTCCTCACGAATTCCCAATGACGAACAATCTTGACGTGATGATTGTAATGTTAAACGCGATGATGATGGTGTACTTGACAGAATTGGTGTTCTTGATCCTGCGATTTAATTTATTTTTTTAAAATTTTAATCTAAATTAAACCAAAAAAAAAAGATGAAGAAAAAAAAATTAACCTGCTGGATGCATTTGTAAATATCCAGCGAATGTTTGTTCCAATTCATTAAAATGATGCGTCGAAGTTGGAGTCAACGGCACGTTAATGGGAATTGGTGATGGTGCTATAGAATAATTTCCCTCAATTAGAGAATTAATTGTGGGATTTGGCGGTGGCAATTCAGGAGGAGGTGTTGTGAAACTTGTCAATGATGCAGTAATTGGCCTTGCTGCAGGCGGAACTGAATAAGCCTCACTAATTGGTCTCGGACGACAATAATCCTCTTTATCGTCATTTTCGTCGTTTCGCAAAAAAGACGATGCACTTTCATTTCCTGGAAAAGCGAAATTCCATTGTAAAATTGCTCTCATTTTAAAATGACTTTCAAATAAAATTTAAGAGCTTGACAAATTTTATTCTGATTGATTTCAAAACAAAAATCATTAAATTCACTTGAATGAATTTATTAAAAATTACAGGAAGTTTCTATATTTTTTTCCGAGTTCATTTCTTTGTTTTATTTAAATTTCTCTTCTTTGTCTTTTAAAGACTATTTAAATCTTAATTTTAATTTATAATTTTTTTTATTTAATTTTATAATTCAATGAGATTTGCAATTGTAATTAATTTTTTCCTCCTCCCTCACCTGTTTCTTCAACTGGAGTTTCGCTCATAATTTTCAGATAACTATAAATGTTGGTGAATTCATTCATTTGCTGAAAAAAAAGGAATTTAGATTAAATTTTCGAAAATAAAATTCAAAAACAGAAAAGCATAAAATTAAATATGTCTAATAATTGCAAAATTAGTGAATTTCTGTCTACGAGAGAAATTGAATATTTAAAAAAAAAATTCATTTGCAAAATTTTTTTATTTATTTTTTTATTTATTTGACAATGTAAGTGATGAGTATAATAAAAATAATTTTTTTGGAAAAGATAAATTTTAGAGTCTTTTAAGAAAATATTTGATGAAAAATCACCGAACCGATTGTTTAAAGCCACATTTTTTTTTTATTTGTTTATGTGTACCATGTAGCTGCGAAGTTGTTGAGCCAATCGAGTGTGATTCGCTTGTTCAGCTAAATCAGCTGGACTCAATTCTGAAACATTCTTAATATCCGAGGCCTGTTCACCACCAGGACTCTCCAAAAGTTGAAATGCCAATTTCTCAAGACCAAATCGTGCAGCAAAATGCAACAAAGTTGGATATTCATCTGGACCTGTAGGAAAACAAAAATTAACTATAGTCTAAGAAAATAATTTTTAAAAAAATAATTAATAAAATAATAGAACTTACTGGTATAATTCTTGGTGGCTGGAATCGTTCCACTTGGAGTTGAAAGAAGATTAAAATGTGGAGGCAAATTTCGCCTGAACGCATGGACCATCCAATTATCCAATTGTTCTCGATCTCCTGGACTGAAGCCAATTGTCTGAACGAGAAAAAAAAATTAATAAAATTTGTTTTCAATTAATTAAATTTAAAAAAAAAATTTCTTAAATAAATTAATACCTGGCACATAAATTCTAAAGGATTATCGTGTGCTCGTAATATTTGATCCAATTCTCTTAATCGACTTTCACATTTAATTTGACGAACTCCAAGGGGACAGCCATTTTTCGCAATTCTCACTCCAACTAACATTGATTTTTCTAAACACTTATCGGGAATAGAAAACTGTAGTGTATAAGGATTTCGTCTCTTCACATTGCTCACATCTATCGCATCACCACAACGATCGACAATTATTGTAACATTATCCTCAATTTTCAAGGGATCGTTCAATAGAGCAATAACTTTACTGTGTCCCTAGAAAATAATTATATTTAAAAAATTATATTTAAAAAATTATATTTAAAAAAAAATTAAATATTTAAGAAATGATTTCTTAAAAAAACATTTTTTTTCCTAACCAGTTTCACTTTTTTTGGATGTATTGTAAATGAAGTTTTATCACTTTTAAGTGTCGTTGGTGGAGCATTGCCTAAAATAGCAAAAACAGCGCCAAAAAATTGACATACAAAATCCTCATCTTGATCTTTGACTGGAAATTTTTTCCAATTTTGAAATGAAATTAAAGCCGATTTATGGCCAGATGTTAGATGATCCTCTTGTACGCCAAGCATCATTGCCAAAACTTTGTCCGGCACCAGATGCCTAGAAAGATTCATTGCTTGTTCAGGACGCGTTAAAATTCGTTTCAAAAGAAATGGACATATGACAACAATTTGCAAACGTGAAGATTTTAATTTATCCTCAGTATTCGTTGTCAATGAATCCTCCACTGTTATATGTCGAACTCTAAAACAAACAAAAAAATATCAAGATTTAATTATTTTTTAAAATTATTTTTTCAAAAAAAAAAAAAAAAATTTTTTTTAATTTTATTTCACCTGAATGGTGGTCGTCCTTGTTGCCTGCTGATTTGTTCAAAACTTCCAGTGAGATAATTCACCCACAATGTTGCGGCTTCACTCTCTCGACTAGAAATTATCACAACATCATCTTCAATTGTTGTTGTTTCTTCTTTTGGTGTTGGTATCGATCCATGACGAGTTCCTGACAAAAAAAAATAGAGAAATTTAAATAAAAATAATAATAATAAATATTTTGACTAATAAATTAAAGTAGATATAAAAAAAAAAATTTTTTTTTGTCAAAAAAAAAAAGATTTCTTACAGTCAAAATAATTTTCTAAAAATAAAATATAAAAGAAATTAATTATACACTGCAGTCTCTGACAATATAAGAGGAAAAAAGTGATATATTTCTCGTTTGGCTTTTATCCAAAAAAATAAAAAATTAGCGTATGAGGAAGTAAGATGAAGTAAAAAAAAAAATTTTAATTTAAGAATAACGTATCGCTATAATAGAGTTGATGATCGAGAATATCCCCCTTCTGGCTTTTATAAATGGCGAATGTCTGTATCAATTAAAAGCAGTTAAAGTGTCTCAGAAATAGAGATTATATCTACAAACACTGACATTCCAAAGCCTAAAACATTTCACTATAGTTTGTTTTGTTTCGCCAAAAGAGAATTTTAGCGCATTATTTTTATATGAAACATTTCCCATAAATATCTATTCTAAAAGCTCAACAGTTATTTCCTGTTAATATCCCAGTTGAGAAATTCAAATAATCAACATTTTCAATCGCTAATTTTTAACTATAACATTAACAATTTTTATAATAATAATAATAATAATAAAAATAATTTTAAAAAATAATAATAGTTAGAATAATTAAAAAAATTAATAATAAATAATTAAAGGGCTATTTCATTATATATATTACAAAAAAATCATTACAGCCTCTTTTTGAAAAATTTTAGTTTTGGAATTTTTTTTTTTTCTTTTTTTTGAGCCGAGTTGAACAACTTTGTAAGTAGATATCCTACAAGTGTCATATCTGTTCGTAAAGATAATTAAAATTATTTTACACGCAATGCTTAAATTGTGTTTAAGTATATACAGCATTTATGTGGAATTTCTCTGCAACTTTACAATAATGCTGTTAATCTAAAAAGACACGCGAACTTCACTATGACTATATATATATTATCACGATTTGTTAAATTATACAATTATATATGATTTTTCTTTTCTACCATAAATGTTATGTTATATATTTATATATAAATTGTAAATATAATAATTCCATTTACAAAAAAAAAGTTCTTTATAAAATAATAATTATTACAATCGATAGCTAATTTTTTAATTTGTAAATAAATTAATGTTTTATAAACAGAAAATTTTTTTTTCCAATTTATAAATTTTAAATAAAATCTTATAAAATATATTTTCAATTATTTAAAAATTCAAAAACTAATAGTAAATAAAATAAAAATTCTTTGACATTTATTTTTAAATGCATCTCAAAGTTTCAATGACTTTTTAATTTGCATTTAAACAGACTCACCACAGAAGTATTACTTGGAAGTGTTTTATTGCGAAAATTTTTATTTTTTGCAGTCGCATTTATTTGTGTGAAGTGCAAAATCATAAAAAAATAATAATAAACATATTTTTTTAAAATATAATAATTATTTGTGTTTATTTAACAATTATTAATTTATATATTATTAAATATATATTTTTTGCTTCCCCCACCGTAGAGGAAATATTAATATTAAATATTTTTATAGTATATTATTTATAAAAAATATGTAATATTGTAAAATAAACTAGGATTTTTTAAAAGTGGGACGCATTAATTAGATTGCATTTATAAATGAAAATTTTGTATATTAAATTAAATTTTCATTAGATGCAAAATTTAATTAATTGACAAATATAATTAAGTAGTGTGTGAGAAAGGTGTAATGCATTAGCATATAAAGGGCAAGGCAGGTCAAAAGACACACCTATATAAGCTATAGTGACTTGACAATAAATATAGTACAAATAAAGATTTTTTTAGGGGCTCAAAGCACGTAATATCCTTATAAAGAAAAGTAATTTAAGATATATATTTTTATGACTTTCAAGAAATATCAAAATATGTTTTATTATTAAAAAAAAAAATAATGCAGGTAATAAATTTGTAATTAGAAATGCAAGTATAATAATGATAATAATAAAAATAAAAGTAGTAATTATAGTAATTATAATAATTAATTAATTAACACTTTTTCCATCTTGTTAATTATATAATATATGATAACTATTATTCCATTTAAATTTATTATACAAATAATAATAATTTATACGATTTATGCAAATACGTTTCCAATATTCATAATATATATATACCGGAAATATCGAAATCGCATGTCACTGATAAAAGCCAAATTAGATAAAGAAATACAGTATATACAATTTATAGCAAATATAAAGAATCCGAAAGCATCATATTTTTATATCTTCTATAATATTTTTTGATAAAAATTATATTTAAAAAAAATTTTTTTTTTTAAATATACCAATGAAATTTGATAAAGACATTTTTTTTAATAATCAACATTAGATTTAATCGCTAAAGTTTAATTTTCTTTCGGTGCGCGTCATTCGAAGCTTCCGTTTTCGGAATTTCCGGTCACTTATAAAATGCAGTTAACTTGCGAGACTTGCCTATAAAACAATTGCTTCTTGAACTCAAAGGATTAATTGAAAAAATTTTAATTTTAATTTAAAAAAAAATCTTTTTTATTACTTAACCAAATGAAGTTATTATAAATATACAAAAACATAAGAAATAAAAAACAATATATATAAAATTAAATTAATAAAATTAAAATTAATAAAAATTAAAAATACAATTTAAAAATAATATAAATAAAATTAATCATATTTAAAAATTCATAAGTAAATAATAAATCTAAAATAAAAATCATATTATACAGAAAGCATGTGTGAAATAATTTTATGTGTCATCGTAAAATGTGTAAAAAAAAATTTTTGCAATTTCAAACGCATATTATCACGACATAAATTTCGTTTATATATTCTTACGACACCATGATGTTTCCTTCCACGGCGTTCATGGGTTAGTTCTATGTACAGCATTTCCGCTCATTTTTTTTTTTTTTTTTTTTTATTACATTTCTGCGAAATTTTTTATTAAAATTAAAGTATTCATTTTAAATTTCAGTCAAATGACATATGGAAGTAATAATTTCTAATAAGTATTAATAATATTAAAGTAAATTAAATTAATAATAATAAAATGTTTGAAAAACCCTTACTTTTTTTTAAATATAAGACATTTTTTTTCATCTTCAATTATTATTCTTTTTTCTAACTTACGAGAACAAAGTGATAAATCCAAAAATGTTGGCCTATTTCTTCTTCGAGATGAACGGGGCGATTCACAATGTAATGACATTGTAAATTTTTTACAATAACTAAAATTTTTTTAAAAATTATTATCAATGGAAATAATAGAAATTTAAAAAAATCATTTTTTTAACGTTTTCTATTTTTATTTACACATTTATTTATTTTTTTTTAAATAAAATTTTTTTGTTAGCAATAAAAAAATATTTTTTTGTCACTCGAATCAGGTGCTTGTTTCATAGCTGACCACTGACTGAGAGAAATATTGCTCCTAAAGAACCCCATTAATTCACATTCGTATACCATTGTTTTCTGTTGCGCCCTCAAATTAGGCGATGACCACAATTTTATTATAATGCGAAAGCTGATTGGAATATTAAATAAAATCACTCCGCCCAAATCGAAGAGAGAAAAAATCATCATATATATAAAAAAATGCGTTTATAATTTTACATTTTATTTAAATAAATAATAATAGGGATTCTAATATTCAAAAGAAATAAAGAAAAATACAAAAAAACAATTAAAAAAATTAAAAATTTTTACATAATTTTATAAAAATAATTTTCAAAAATTTATTAAATGTTAAATTTTTTAGATTTTATGAAAATACGAAAAAGTTGATTAAAAACACATATAAATTAATAAAACGAGAAAAGGGTTGCCCACATTTTTATGCCAACAGACCGTATAGACAGTTTTGCAGACTTCGTTTCCGGACAAAAAAGAGCGAGAGTACGACGCCCAAAAATAATTTAGCCATCAAACTAATTTGAATTAAATGAGACTTTATACGTCTGTTTCTAATTTAATCTTATTTAAATATTTATTCATTAATTTGAAGAAAAATTTTTTTTCTCACCATAAATGCATTTTTAAAATGTTTCATAATTTTATATTTTAATACAAAAAAAAAACAAAAATATTCCAAAAATTTTTAATTAATATTTAATTATTTATTACAGAAATATAATTCTATTGCATTATAAATAAATTTAATTATTACTAGTTAATTTAATTTGTAAATATTGATAATTAAATAATATAAAAAAATAATATAAATAATATTAAATAAATAATATAAATAAATTAATGTAAATAAATAATAAAAATTACAATTCTCGAAAAATTAGATGATTTACCAAAATAATTGAGACTTCGTTTAATGTAATTACTTTCTTCTTTAATCTTCATTTTTTTTCTCAGGAAAAAATTATATTTCATTGAACTCTTTTGGTAAAATTCGCGCGCAAAATTACATCTCCATTTCTTTTTTATCACTTTCACATTTTCCACATAATTAATTTGCAATCACAATAAATTCGCGTAAAAACTGAAAATTAGAATAATTTCGAATATTATATTTATATAATAGAAATAAGTAATTTTTTTTTTGTAAAACACTATCACTTGAACGTATAAAAAAAAAATTCCGCTCACAAATAATTTAAATACAGGCTATTTTTAATTTTTCGGAAATAATAGTAATTCAATGTACTGATAACCACCGACGAGGAAAGTTGAGTCTCAATGTTGCGCTCAACTATTATACTAAAACTAAAGCCGGCAGAAGAAAAACGCGCCTGCATTGAAATATTTTATCTTTACGCACGCGCAATCCATAGCGACTGCGTCTAGTCGCTGGACCAAAATCTTATTATTAATGTCAAAAAAAAAAAAAAAATTTTTTTTACAAAAAAAATTCTTATAAAATAAATATTTTTTCAATTTAAAATTTTATTTTATTTATTAAAATTTTTTTATTTTTTCTTTCTATTGAT